TGCGGAAGACTAGTGGACAGGGGCTCCCGCAAGTCCCTTCTCCTCTCTGCGCCCCAGTTTCCCTGCCTGTCAAGGGCTTGGGGCCTTCCAGCTTGGGGACGTGACAAACAACCCTCAGTCTTCCCTTGGCTGCTCTGGCTCCCAGCCCCAAGCTCCTGCCCGAATCTCTGGGCTAATAAGACCTGAAGGTCCTCTGGACCCACACAGTGCCTGATGCGCCCCGGGCTCCTGCAGTGGCAGCCTGGGCTCCCCTCAGCAGACGGCATCTCCCCACCTTTTGTTAATGACCCTGGCTGTGTGCTGGCTCCAGACTGGCCACCCCACACCCTGCCACACGGAAGAGGCACCCAGCGCCCCCTCTCATGCAGACAGCACCCCTGGCCCAGGAACGCAGGCCCTGCTGAGCAAGTCCTTCCGGCCAAGGACATCGCCATCTGCTCTTCAGCTCCCGGTCCCAGCTCCCAGGATGCTCCTGTGTGCCCAGCCCGACTCAGCCCTGAGGTTTACATCCCTCCATTTCCATCTCCCTGCAACCCAGCACGCGGGCCCTATTCCTCACGCCCCACTTTACAGATCAGAAAACTGAGGCACAGAGAGGTTGAGTCCTCTGCCTGTCAGGGGCTGAATGGTATCCCCTACAAGAAACCTACAATGAAGTCCTAACCCCAGTTCCTCAGAATGGGATTCTATCTGGAAAGAGGGGAGTTGCAGATGTAAGTGGTTAAGATGAGGTCATACTGGAGTAGGGTGGGCCCTCAACCCAACAGGGCTGGTGTCCTTATGAAAGGACAGTGTGAAGACAGAGGGAAGACAGCCACGAGAAGGCAGCAGAGACTGGAGTGACGCAGCCACAAGGTAAGCCATGCCTGTGGCAACCAGAAGATGCAAGGACGTGCCTGTCCCTCAAGCCTTTAGAGGAGACGCGGCTCTGCCGGCACCGTGAACTTGGACTTCTAGCCTCCAGAGCTGTTGTTTTAAACCATCCATCTGCTGGGTGATGTGTGGTTACAGCAGCCCTGGGAAATGAATACAGCGCACAACGTCAGTCACCCAGCCCACAGCAAAGCAGAGTTTGACACCAGGCTGCTCCACGGCGCTCTTCCCCAGCACACTGCTCCCCTCCCTGGGGACCACGGGGATTGTGGGGATGGGACAGCCAGGGTACAGGGACAGGCCACATGCCCCCAGATCCTGACGAGACATAAGCGCCCCTGAGAGATGAAGCTGGGTTGAGGGGAGAATGGTGTCCTGGGGCCACTAAGCATGTTTGCACCTCAGGGCCTTTGCATGTGCTGTGTCCTCTGCCCGAGGCTCCGGCATTCATTCCCACCAGCCACTGGGCGCCGCGTGGGCTGAGATACAGCCGCGAAGGAGACAGCAAGGCCACAGATAAGCATCCCAGCGTGAATGTCACCGGCTCCTCCTCAAGAACCACCCCCCGCCGACCCTCACCGCAGCCTTCCCATCTGAGTCTCTGCGCCTGCTTCATTCTCTCTGTGGCATTCCCCCCCCCCCCCCCGAAGCTTTCCTGCCTCTTGGTCATTTGCTTGTCTCTCCGTCCCCCCACTCCACTCAGGGCTCCACAGCTGCACCCTCAGCCCGGTCCGCAGCCCGGAGAAGCTGCTCAGTTACTCAGCGAGTGACAACCCATGACTGCACGATGAGCTGAGCGAAGCCTTCCTGGAAGGCGGGGACCCGCAGCCGCAGGTGGGAGCAGAACCGTCACACCTGTGCACGGCGCTCTGCAGCGCACAAGCCCTCCCACAGCCGCTTCGGAACCCCTCGAGGAGCGCGGCAGGGAGAGCTCCTGGTCTGAAGATCCCCGCTCTCTCATTGAAGAAACAGCTCAGACAAGTTAAGAGACCTGGTCACACGGGGGATGGGCGATTCTCCCCAGGACACCTCCGTCCCCTGGGCAGGCGGGTGATGACAACAGGTGGTACCCCACTCAGAGAGGAAGCCACCTCCTCCGCGGCCCCCAGCCCCAAGGTCGTGCAGTACCAGGTGGATCCCACCTCCTTCCAGGCACACAGCTTTCCCTGTCCCCCGGAACACACTTGTCCCTTCCCCATCAGCGTGTCCCCGTCCTCTGAGGGTCCCCTAGCACTCGGCGTGTTGAGACGGGGACCCCTCCCGAGACCCAAAAGGGCAAATTCCTGATTCTGCCACGCTCCACCACCCAACCTCACAAACCCATTTGGCAGGAGGGGCAGCTTCCGTCACTGAGCTTACAGTTCCTGAGTGCCCAACTCAGCGCAGGGAAGGGCCAGGAACCAGACAGTCACGGTCCCCGCCCGCCCGTGCGGCCCATGCTTTTCGGGCAGGAGGGCAGAATACAGGTTGATGCCCAGAAGAACAAATAAGATGACTGCAGTGTGTGGCTAATGCCCAGGGAAAAATGAAGCCAGCTGATGTGGTCGTGAGGGAGGGATGAGCGGCTAGTCTCATCCTAGGTCCTGGAGGAGGAAGGTGTGGACAGGGCAGCTTGCTTGACTCCACCATGGCATGGAGGCCGGGTGGCCCAGCGAGGGGACAGGACACCGGGCGGAGAGCCAGGGGGCACCTCGCACCTCAACCCAGTCCGCAGGCACAGAGAGTGGCAGGAGGACGCCACGACTCGCCTCAGGACCTTGTATTCTCCCTTCTGGACAGCGGGGCCGGACACAGTCACTGCCAAGATCCCAGGGTGCCAGGGCTTCCCACCCTGCGTCCCTCAGGGGGCCGGGCAGCTGTGGAGGGATCCCACCCTTTGTCTGAGGCCACCTTCTCCAAAGGGGAGGGAGCTGGACTCCTGAAGTGACCGTGCAGACTCAGCTGCCCCATCAGGGTGGGAGGAGGAGACAATAGGGAGACCTCCATCAAGCAGAGGGGCCCTGGGGGCTTCTCAGTAGGGGACTTTACCTGGGACAACCCTCCCCTCTGCTGCTCTGGCTCCCTGGAGCCCCGAGAGGCCGGCCCAACGAGGTGAAATGGGAGTACCCAGAGGAACTACCTTCCCCCAGTCTCCTGGGCCTGGGAGCACCTCCCCACTCTGGACCCGGCCCCCAGACCCGCCCAGAAGTCCCACACGGGCCTGGGGGCTCCTCTCTGCGGGGCGGAGGCGGGGCCGCAGACAGCACCGAGGTGCAGTTACACCCACGAGGCACGCTGACGTCCGTGACTGACGGCCCTGACGGATCAGGGCTCCGGGGCGCCTACCACGGACCCACCACGGACCCGCCATGGCATCGGCATGTCATCAAATTTAATCCTCACAACCACCCAGGAGCTCAAACAGGTGGAGAAGACTGTTCTCGCTACTTTATGGGCAGAGAAATGGAGGTCCTCCCTTGACCCCTTATGCCCCTGAGTGTTTAATTCTCACGGCCTCTGGGAGGAAGGTCCCTTGAGACACCACAAGAGACATCCTATTTGCCGTTCACGAAGTGCACCCCACTTTGCAGAACACCTGCCCTATGGGCCCCGGGTTCCAGCCTCCCGGCAGCCCTGTAAACTGAACTGTGTCATACTTTGCTTCATTTTACAGATGGAAAAACTCCCGAGCCCAAGGGGCGACAGGGACACAGACAGGAAGTGGCAGAGGTCGAGGGGAACCCATGGGACGACATTCTTTTCCGCAGGCTCTTTCCGTGAAGAAACCTGCCCGGGTGACCCCCTGGCTCTGCCAGCTCTGTCGCCTGCCTACCTGGGGCCGTGCCAGCGCTCACTGGGTCACTGGGCCCTGTGCCAGGGGGATTGCAACAAAGCCTCTCCTCTCTGTTTGCTCCCAGCCTCCCGGCACGAGCCCTGGACCATTAGCCCATTTTATAGACAAGGACGGTGGGGGGGGGGGTGCGGTGGGGGGAGCTCAGAGGGGAGGAGGCCAAGGGGCGGGGAGGGGGGCGGGGGGTGGGCAGGCACTGCTGGCTGGGCATTCAGACCCAGGCCCTGCAGAGCTCCCCATCAGGGCTGGCCTGGGAGGTTACAGCTGGCCCTCCCCCCAGTTACGGAAGCGGTGGGTGCTCCAAGAGACCGGTGGGTGCTCCAAGAGACCGAAAAAGCCTCCCACCCCCTCGGGACCGCACCCACCCCCAGGCAAGCAAACAAAGGGCCGTGCAGATCCTCCCGGATCCCTTGTCCCTGTCACTACCCCCAATACATAACAGGGCTGGGGGTCACAGGCAACAGGAACCCTCAATTGGCTACCAGAGCCCCGGGTTCCAGTGCCACCTGTGAGCCGGGGCAAAGCACAACCCCCTTTGAAGGAGACCCTTCCCCACCGGAGGGCTCGTGGAAGCTGGTGGGAAGGGGAGGCTGCAGGATGGAATGGCAGAAGGGAAGAGGTAAGACACGCTCTGCTCAGAGAAGCAGCGCCGGGAGGGAAGGGGGAAGGGGAGCAGGAAGGAAGAAAGAGCATTTCTCTCTCTCCATGCCCCCCCCTCCCCGCCCCCAAACACACAGGTGCCAGACAGCTTTGGCGAAAAAACTAGTTTGCAAACACACTCCGACTTCTGGTAAGCTGCAAGCGCCGCTCCCTCTCTTGGCTCCACCTTCCGGGGCTGGGAGCTGGCTCCCGGGCAGTTCCCTGGGGCTGCGGGTTTGGGAGCCGGGTATGGGGCGAGAGGGGCCCGCGCCAGTCAGGAGCCAGCCCGGCCTCAAGTCTTCAGCAGCTGGGGACTCCACCCTCCGGACGTCCCCAGGCTCCCCGGCAAGGTAGGAGGGTCCCTAGACCAACGGGGCTGAGATCCCCCGAGGGCGCAAACCACCTCCAGCGCCCTGACTGCTCCCTACCCCCTCGGCAGTCCGGGTGAAGCCGGAGCGCCCCCGAGTGGTCGGGTCGGAGCTGAGTCACCCGAGCGCCGGAGTCCGGGTGCGCGCGGGTGGCGGGGGCTCGGAGCGCCGCAGCCCCCCGAGGCGGAACCCAGCTTCCTTCCAACGCGCCAGGAGGTAAGCGCCAAGGCCGAACTTGAGCGCTCGCGCCAAGGCGCCGCCCGCCTCTGGCCCTCCCGGGCCCCACTCACCGCGGGTCCCGGGGGCGCCGCCGCCTTCACCGCGCGGCTGCCGCTGCCCGCGCTCCGGTCCGCCGGGGCATCCCCGGGCGGTCCCCTGCTCGGCCGGGCCCGCGGGCGCGGGACGGGCTCAGGGCGCTGCCCGCGCGGCCAGGGCCAGCTCGCGGGCGCTCCCAGCCGCTCAGGGTCCGGTCCTCCTCCGGGGCCGGGCGGGCGGGCGACGGCGGCGGCTCGGGCTCCTCCCCCCGGCCGAGGAGGGGCGGGTGTGGGGAGGGAAGTGGGGAGGCGAGGCGGGCGCTTCCTGGAGGGGCGAGCGCTCCCAGCGGGCGTGGCGGGGGCACTGTCCCGCCCGCCGCCCGCCTTTCCCCGCCTGCGGCGGGCGCGCCCTGGCACTCCGTGCTCTTGGCAGCGCGGGGTCCGAACGTTCGAGGCCGGAATCCGAGGGTCCGATCGTGCCGGGCTGGGGCTCCGTGGGTAGGAACGCCGCTGGTTCGCACCTTCCCCAGGCCGGCCTCGCCGGAGCCGCGGGCACCACCTCCGAGGGCCGAGCGCCGTGAGCTCAAGTCCGCCGACGCGGGAACCGAGGGGTGGGCTCAGCCGGGGCCTGCGGGGTTCCCAGAGCGCCGCCTACGGCCTCGACCCCGAGGGCCGATGGGCTCCGTGCTGCGCCCTCGGAGCTACGCCGCTGGGCTTGGTTCTGGGCGGTACGGGGCAGCACTAGGACCGCAGTGTTCTCTTTCCTTTCTTTTCTCTTTCTTTTTTTCTATAGTGAAAGAGCTCGGCATGTTCTTACCACCAGAGACTGGGAAGATGGCACATATTTCTCTGACAAATAAGATAAAGACAGTTTGAGCAGTGCCTGGAGCTTGTCAACCAGAGGGCAATTAGGCGGTTCCCTGAGGCCCAGGCACTGAAAACCCCTCCTGCGAAGGCCTTCTTTTTGCCCTAGAAGAGGCATCAATTTAAGAACGCGTCTGTAGCCGGGCGTTCGTACTGTGGGCCCCTCGGCGGCGGTGCGTGGTCTAAACAACCCCCTCCTATTCAGTGTCATAGACCACCGAGCCTGGAGTCTGTGTAACCAGGCTGTGGGGGAGGAAGCTGGCCCGAGACCTCAAGCCCGCGACCAAAGCCCTTGGCCTGCGGCGCCAAGAGCTAACTCAGCGCTTGGGCTGTGGGTTTTGCATTTCAGGCAGGTGTGGGTTAACCTGGAGGCTCGCGCTGCAGACAGCAACCTCCCTTCACGTCTGAGTCACAGGCACTTTGCTGCCTTAGAGGGGCGGCCACTAAAAAGCCCTAGGGCTCTGAGCTCTGTTCCCTGCCTGCCTGTCCCTCATCTATCCTGCCTTTCTGCAAGCTCTCCTTATCTTCCTTCCATCCAAAGTCCTTAAAGCTCTCAGCCCAGTTACCGGGGCAAACCAACCAGCAGGTGTTCTTAGCTCCGGCTCCAGCTCATTTCCACCGGGACCTTGCCTGGCTCCCAGAACCTCTCTCCTCTCCCTGGGCCAAAGCAAGAAGGCCAGGCACTGAGATGGACAATGTTGAGCCCAAGCAGCCTCCCTCCCCTCAAGTTGCTCACCTCCCCCCTCCCCTTGCACCCTGGGGGCAAAACCAGGACCCAGGCCGTCATATTACCGAATGAAAAGTGCGAAGGTGGGCAGTTGGGTGGTCCAGAAGGCCCTGCTCAGCCCTGGGCCTCTGCCGGAGAGCCTTCCCCTCGGAGACCGGGGCAAGAAGCTCCCTGGCTGAGGGCAGTTATAGCAGTTCCACTCCTAGGTAACTACCCAAGGGAGATGGGAACAGTCGACCACACACAGGCTTGTACATGAAGGTTCGTCGCGGCATGATTTAGAACAGCCAAAAAGTGGAAAAAACTCAGAGGTCCATGAGCTGATGCACACACAGCAAACACACTGTGGTCTGGCCATGCAATGGAATGTGATTCAGCCATAGAAAGGCGTGATGGACATGCATATGGATGAACTTCGAAGACCTTATGCTAAGCGAAAGAAAGAAGCCGGTCACAAAAGACCCCATATTGTATGATTCTATTTCTGTGAAATGTTCACGCTCGACAAACCCGCAGAGATGGGAAGCAGCTTAGCGGTTGCCTGGGGCTGGAGGGGAGAGTGGGAGTGAGCGCGCTTGGTACCGGGTTTCTTTGGGGATCATTTACAATGTTCTAAAATTGACTTGTATCCTTGAAAGGGGTGAATGCTACAGTATGTGAATTACATCTCAATAAAGCTGTCTAAGAAGAAGTCAGGGATCAGAGAGCCCAGAGGTCTGCTGCTTAAGTCCCGAGCCCGTCATGAGTGGATTCTACACTCTGCCCCCCGCGCAACGCTGCTACTGCAAAGTGTTGGAGGAAGTCTTTCCTTACCCTGGTAGAGACCTCTCTGTTCAGGCGGGAGGCCTGAATTTCCCTAAATAGGCCCATGTGTGCACGCACAAAGCACCTGTCGCCGGGATATTTATTGCCACAGTCCGGACTGTCTGGACAAATATCAGAATAACCAGCGCTGCCTGTACACTTGAGTGTGCCTGTGAATGAAGCACACTTCTGAAGGAGCCCCGCCTGTGTGCGGGGCCCTGGCGGGCCTCCGGGGTGTGGGTGGGAGAGGATGGAGGGCCATCGGGTTATTTCTCACACATTACCGCAGACCTTGCTAACTCTCCTGGTTCTGGAGGCCAGCTGGGCTCCGCGAGGGCAGTTCTTGCCCGGGGTTGTCTCAAACAGCTGCAGCCAGACGAGGACAGCGGCTGGAGTTGTCTGGACGGTTTTCTCAGATGTGTCTGGCAGTTGGCGCTGGCTGTCAGCTGGGACCTCCGCTGGGCTTCTCCACTGGAACACCGACCTGCGACTGTTCCATGTGGCCCGGCTGTCCTCGGAGCCTGGCGGCTGGGTTCCCCCTGTGAGCATTCCAAGAGAACGAGGGGGAAGGAAGAACCTATCATCTTTCATAGGACCTACTCTGCAAGTCACATACGGTCACTTCCGCGGTTGTCCCCACTCCAGAGACCCTCCCGCCTTTCGACGAGAGGAGTGCTGCTCTCACACTTAGGAAGAGCATGTGGGATGGGAGATAGTGCGGTGGCCATTTTGGAAGATGCCATCTGCCACAGGAGTTAGTATGGAGGCAGATCAGTGATGGCAACGTCCCCACAAGGGCCCCCTGTTAGAGCCTGCACGTCTGATTCCAGTGCCTGACCTCAGGCTTAGAGCCTTGGCCCAGGGTTTGAATCCCAGCCCCTCCAGTTCCCGCCTGGGGGCAGTCACTCAGTCCTCAGGGCCCCACTTTCCTCCTCTGTAAGATAAAAGGTTAGACTTAGTACTGGCTTCGCGGATGATTACGGGAATTCAATGGGACCCCAACTGACGTGGCTAGCCCTGCACCGGGTATGGCAGGACACCAAGCTAGTGGGTCGTCACCGCTATTTTTGAGGTCCAGGGTGGCAAGTCACCCTAGTGCCAGGATGCCCTCTTCCAAGGGCACCTCCATCAGCCCCAGCCTTGCACTGGAGATTCCTGGGTAGGGGTGGGGTCTGTGGGCCCAGCCCAGCGACTCAGCCTGGGAACCCCACTTGGCCTTCGTTCTGTCTTGAGGGCTCTTCTTCTGTGGCCTCCTCCTCAGGGCAGAGGTCAGTTTCTGGGCAGCCAGGCAGGGCTGGGGCTTGTGCAGGATGAGGGACAAAACATGGCTTCCAAGGGCTGAGGGTGAGGAAGGACTCGAGCTCTGAGGCCTGGGGCACACATGGGTGGGGGTGGGGTGCTGCACCGGGCACTGGGGTGGGGGAAGGGATTCGAGGAAGACCAGTTTGGGGGGTGGAGGGGGGCACTTCCTCAGCCCAACCCTGGGAGGATCTCGACCAGCCAGCTGCTGCAAGGTCTTTTCCAGGAAGCTCCAATGTGTCCCAAGGGTGCGTCTGGCTTTGTCTAAGGCCACTCCCCTTAGGCCCGGCCTTGGTCATTCAGGGGTGAAGTTGGGGACAGAAGCAGGGCCAGGAAGGGCACGCAACGCTCCCGCCTTCCCCAGCACCCTGCTCTCGGACACGCCAAGCCACAGAGCAGCTCAGTCCCAGCCTGGACCACCCCGGGATCCTCCTGCGCTTGCTCCGGGCTAGGGATCTGAGCTCCACTGAGTACTGGCCGTGGGACCTTGGGCAAGTCTTGTTCCTCTCTGGGCCTCTGTTGCCTCATTTGTGAAAACAGGGGAGGTTGCTGCCCAGGTTGCAGCTGTGGGTCCAGAGGAAGTCACAGATGGTGAACTAGGACCAGGCAAGGCAGGCAACGGAGAGTTCCGGAACCTCCCTGAGGAGGCAGAGAGGGACCGGAAGGTCATCTTTGAGCTGGGAAAAGTAGGTCCCTGTGCCTTGTCTCATTTTGTTCACCCCCTCACTGTACAGATGAGGAAACTGGGGCTGCACCAGTGGGATTAAGAGTCTCAAAATTTCAAAGAGAGTAGATCCTAATGCTTCTCAAGGAAAAAATTTTTTTCCTTGTGTGTGTGTGTGTGTGTGTGTGCGCCCACATGAGATGATCTTAACTAATTGTGATAAGCATTCCACAATATTTGAAAGTCAAATCATGCTGTACACCTTAAACTTATGCGGTGATCTATGTTGATTATATCTCAGTAAAAACTGGGGTGGCAGGGGGCTGTGGGGAGCTGGAAGGAAGTAGGGAGGAAAAGTAGCAAAGACTCAGGTTTGATTCCTGATGCTACCATTTCCTAGCTGTGTGCTGTTGGGCAAGTTAGGAACAACCTCTGGGTCGTTGTCCTCATCTGGGGAGGGAGGCTCACCAGGGACCTCAGGACAAAACACGGGAAGCGGGTGCAAAGGCTTGCCTGGCCTCTTTGAGCCAGCACGCCCCCTGGAGGTCAGTCTCCATCCTTGGCTGCACCTTAGTGTCGCCCAGGAAGCCTTCTGAACACTCTATAAAGCTCCCTGAGTCAGGGTTGAGATCCACTCACCGGCCTCCAGTCTCACTAGGTTAAGTGTGGTCCGGCTGCAGAGACGTGCCTGGGGGCTTCTTAGAAATGCAGACCCCCAGGGCCCTGCCCCAATGCCTGCCCTGCTGAGCCAGCATCTGCATGTTAAGACCCCTGGATGCATCAGCTGGCATTGTAGTCTAAGTACCCTCTGATCATTTGAGAAGTACATGTGTTTGGAGGAGGACAGAGGACACAATTTGGGAGGACACGTGGCCTGTGTGGATGGGAAAAGAGAGTCTGTGACTCCCATCAGAAAGATAGGTGTTCAAGCTATAAAACCACAGGATGGAGGCCAAGTGGCCAAGTAGCAGAATGAGCCTATCCCAGCCTTGCAGGTAGGCATGGCTACTTACCAGGCCGATCCCATTCCTGGGGAGAAGGGGCAAATAGCCTACTTTGGGGAGAAGGGCGTAGAGAGACTGGACCCCATCAGTGTTGGATGGAAAAATAGTCCAGGCCTCCAAGCAGGCAGGTAGCAGGAGAGTCAGGTTCTTAATAAGATGAGCAAGGTGATTGCACGCCACCCCAAGGTGGCCTGGCCAGCCTTGCAGCGCTGACAATACTGTGGTGTTTTCAGGGGAGTTGCCCAAGGTTTCCTGGGGCTCAGAACTTGGGCAGAGAGGAGGGGAAGGAAGGCGAAGGGAAAAGTGAAACGAATAAGCAGCAAATTCCAAACCTGTCCCTGAGCTCCGCTTGGTGCTGGTCGTGCTTTTCACCTGGCCTAGAGCTTCTGGCTGGCGCTCCGTTCCTTCCTCAGCCGGGACTCCTCCAGACACAGCATTGTCAGGCTTTGAGGGACACAGACTCCAGTCTTGGGCAAGGGCAGGAGGCAGCACCACGCCCCTTGGCATGAAGATGCTTGCTGAGGGCCCCCGGTCACCGTGGCATCATTTTCCAGGAAGAGGAGAGAATTTTGGGCTCTGGATTTCCAGCTAAACTTTGTGGATCTTCCACCTGCCCATCCCCTTTCCCACTGGGTGGGGGGTGTGCCTTGCCCCTGACCCTGGTGGCCTGGCATGGGTGTGGGTGCTTGGCATTTGGCCGGTGGACTTTGTCCTCATGCTTGGCAGGGACTCAGGAACAATGTGGAAGCTGGCAAAGTCCAAGGCTGAGCCTTCCAGATGAGCCACTAGCAGGCTGGGACATTCCGAGATCCTGAACCGGGCAGGAGCAGCCCCTAGCCTCGCCTCCTAACTTCCTGCTGGTTCCAGTGGCAAAAGAAGTTCTCAGGAATTGCCAGTGGGCCAGCCTGCCCTCCAGTGGTGCCCAGTGGTAACTGCACTTCCCTTGCCCACTTTTCTCAACATTCCGCAGCTTTGGAGGAAGGCTCCCTGGAGATCCGCAAGCAAGTGACCAGGAGGGGGTGCTCCTCTCCGGCTATTTCAAGCATCTCTCCATCTCACATTATATACTGACTCTATAGGGGTGGGGGGACTAGCATGTAAACCACCTCTTCATACTAGGGACTTTGCATACCTTGCTTCCCTACCCCTCCAGAAGTTCTGGGAGCTGGGGACTATTACTAACTCGTGCAGAAGTAACTCCTGGCTTCAAAAACAGGCAGCAAGGGGGCACGTCATAGTCCATTCTATGCCCATCCGACTTTTGAAGCTATGTTTCTAATGCCCCACTGGCCCGTGGAAACCCTCTGAGCCAGAAGATTCCAGGCTCTCGCGAGAACCAGGCAAGCAGCGAATCGAGGGGCAGGGGCGCTGGAGAGTAGGGGGACCGGAACACGGAGGGATCTGGGCCACATCTAAGCGCACAGTCGTATTGGCCCAGCAGGTTGCCCCTGAGTGGGTGTGCTGGACTGGCCCCTCAGAGAAGCTGAAAATCTGGGTTTTTATGTACAAGTTCTCAATTATAAATACCATTTAGTAAGAGAGTTTACATATAATGCAAATAAAAAAGGTTTCTAACATGGTGAGCTTCTAGAACATCCTCATAGGGCAGGTGCGGTCCAGAGAGAGGAGGTGACTTGCCCATGGTCCCATGATCACACAGGGACGGAGCACGGCCTGGACCCCCGTCACCCGACCCCTGCCCCCTCCGTGGCCTGCTTGCTCTCCGGACCCCGGGGCAGGGAGCACACCGCTTCTGCCGTCGGTGAGGCGGTGGGACACATCAAACTCAGACCAGAGGCTGGCAAATCATACATTTATTGCTCACACTTGACTTACAGTATATGTATCAGGGACATCCTTGTGCCCCCTTGGGAACATAACAACACAGGGAGCCCCTGGGAGCTCCCCTGGATCCACCAAGGTAGTGGCTGTGCCCCGTGGCCTTGCCTGGCTATCTCGGCAGTGCCCACCCCTTGTACCCTTAGACTGGCTTTGTCCCTTGGACAGGACAGCCTGGGCCCCTGTCCCCCAGGTCAAGCTGGCTCTCCCTAGACCTGGACCCAGACCCACAGTCCTTGGAGGCCAGCACTTAGGAGTCACCAGTTTACAGACAGGTGAGCTGAGGCTTGTGGCAGGAGCGGATTCGCCCGGAAGCCTCCCCGCTGAGTCCCCAGCTTGGCCCGGAGGCCTGGCCGTCGGGCTACTGGGCCAGCCCTTGTTCAGACACTTTCCCCATCCCAGTTCTGGGCGGGAGATACTCTCTGGTTTAGCTGCTCTGGAAATGCAATCTATAAATACATACTTGATTTTAAAAAAATAATAAATTAGATCTTGGGCCAGCCTGAGGGCATCTGGCCGGCCACCTGTGCTGTGACGTGGACATTTGTCAGGTGTCTTACACGGACCACCAGTCACATGTCCTGCCATGTGTGGTGCTAGGATCCATGACACTGACCCACGGGCCACACTGCAAGTCCCATGTAATGTCACATGGAACTGACACATGTGACCTTCTGTGTCATGCACATCATGCACACCCTTGCTGTGCCACATGTCTGTACTGGTCATGCATGTCATGTGCGATGTGGGGTAGCCTGCTAGTCACAGTAGGCTCCTAGTTCCCAAAAAAGTCCTCCCTGAATACTGTGGCAGGACAAACGTGTCCCTCCCTCCAGGGGTCGGGCGCCGGGGCACCCAGCTGAGGCTCCTCCCGAGCCCTCTGTCCCGGCGGGTGGAAGCTGGATCACTTGGCTGGATTCAAAGGATCTTCAGGCGGCCACATCAAGGACCCCGAGGAGCCTGCGGCTTGTTGGGGAAGAAAGCAAAGTCCAGCCTGGGCTCGTGGCTCTGCAGACGCTGGGCCACGTCGGGCGGGATGTGGTTATTCCAGAGGCTGCAGGACAGACACACAGACACTCAGCACTCATCCTCTCGTCTCCGTCCTCGGTCCTGTCTACAGATGGGGACACATCGCCCCAGGGGAAGCGCTGTGCCTAGAGTCACCCGGCAGAAGCAGGTGTTCGGCCAGCAGGACTGCCCTGGGGAGACGCTGGTCCCCACCCCAGCTTCTCCCGCTCTGTCTCCTTCCCTGAGAGCCAGTGACCCCAGCCAGCCCCAGTCACACGACACGCTGCCGAATAAGGAAAAGGCTCCCCTTCTTGAGGACCCTGGACTTCTGTTGTCTGATGTTGGCGCAATATATTGATTTGTATCGAATGAAACACTCCACTGTTATCTACTAGAAACCTAAGACGCCCACCGTGTGAACGTGGGCGGCCCTTAGCTGCACCGCCCTGTGCCGCGTGCGACTGCGCAGGGCGCCTCTGATGGAGGCTGCACCGAAGTGCTCCCCGTGTCCCGGGATGTGCTCACAGCGGTTCTTGGAGGGAAACACTGTCCTTACCCCTGTTTTATAGACCAGGACGCTGAGCTTCGGAGAGGTTGCGTTACTGATGCGCAGCCACACCACTGGCACCGGCAGGGCTGGGCTGCGGTGCAGGCCTGCCTGCTGCCACACTCTCGGTGGAGTCGCCAAGTCTTGTTGACAATCCCCAACCCCAGGCCTGCCTCCGTCTCCAGGGCACCCCCTCACCTTGTAGGGGCCGGTGAGGTCCCCCACCCACCATTCCTGTCCCTGCAAGCCCCTCACCGGATGACTTGGACGCCAGAGCCCTGCGCCAGCCCTTCAGCCAGGAGCCTGACTCCGTATGCTGTGATCTGATTCTTCTCCAGGCTTCGCGGTGCACAGCGGGGGGTGGGGAGGAGAGAGACTGGCATGAGACGGGGGGGCGGAGAGGGTGCTTCTCTGTGTCCCTTCCCCCCCCAAATGTGCAGGGAACCCAACAGACGCCGTGCAGCAGGACAGCTGAGAGCTGGGACCCAGGGAGAGCTAAGGGGGGCAGTGGCTTGGAGAGAACAGCAGCACACAGGCCAAGGAGAGCTCCCTGTGAGGCAGGGGCCTGATCCAGTGGCCTCTTGGCTCCCCCCAGACGTAGGAGCCCCTGTGGCCCTCCCCACCCCGTTCTGGCCTCCCAGGAGGCGCCCCGCATACTCCACGCTCTTCAGCCGGTCCATCCGTGGCAGGACCCGGGCCAGTTCGGCAGCTGCCTCGTCCCCGAGCAGATTCCAGGACAGCCTGTGGGGCAGAGGCCGGAGGCCAATGCCAGGAGAGCAGGGAGGCGGAAGGCTGAAGACAGGGTGGCAGGAGGAGGGGACTGCGGGGTAGGCGGGGCGGGCAGAGGCCAACGAAGGGGTGGTGCTGGCAGGTACAAGAGAGGTGCTCGATGGGGTGCTTGTGTGCCCTGACTTCCCAGGGTGCAGGTGGCTCCCAAGCCTGCTGCCAAGCTGGTCATCCCTGAGGACCCAGGCTGCGTAGGGCCTGGCTGTTCTGAGAGCTCAGAGTGCTTGGTTTGCGGAAACAATACGATCCAAACTTGCACCATGCGTGTGCCTCCATCATGACTTTTGTCACATCTGTCTGCACCTCTTATATTATTTGTTTCATATTCTTCCATACGTAGGTTCCCCCTTCCCTCCTGTTTTTTAGCTTTGAGAAATGCATCTTAGGCAACATTGATCACTACTATCAACAGGAAACCTATGTTGAGGACCTTAAATAGTTACAAGGATAAACACAGGGCGAACTGCATTATTAACTTCTAGCTGGAACCTGTGTCCTCTCTAAGGTGCTGAGCCTGTGGCCTGCCCCCTGCTGGCTAAAAAGGGAGACTCACCCATGTTAGGTGTTACAGAGGAGTTAGCACTGAGGTGAGACTTCCTCTTTGGTGTAAAGTAATGAGAAGCATTGAAATCTTTAGGATGCAAGCCTGAAATTTTATAATCACCATGTCCTGTACTTTAGGAAATAGCGTTTTCCTCCAATACGCGGCCAGGGTCCCAGGCCCGTTTACCCCTGAGGCTGTGTGGCAAGGCCAGAGGTCTGAAGCTCTGACTGCCAAGGGCCCAGGGGCGGGCCCTGCTGGCTTCAGCCACTCTTCCCTACCAGCAGATGCTTTGTAAACCAAAGTTCCATAAACCACCACCTCCCAAAGGGAAGGTCAGGGGCAAGGGCCTTTGGAGGCTGCCGGGTGCACTTCCCTCCCTGCCACGCCACAGGTGGGGACACGGGCAAGAGGCTGGATGACCTGGCTCCAAATCGCTGGCAGCTCAAGTGTTAAAGCTTCCTTGAGAGGAGACTTGAGCAAGAATGACCTTCCCCGCCCGGAGACGGGAAGACCCCTGGGAGCAAGGGTCCAGGCCACCAGGAGGCGGGCGCTAGGTACTCACAAGATCTCCTCCAGCGCCGGGCAGAGCACGAAGCTGGCGATGAGGGGCTTGGCAGCCTGGTTGTCAATCTCACAGGAAACCAGGCTGGGGAAGGAGAAAGGGGCCGACAGAGGTGTGTGAGCCCAGGGGACCTCCCCCGTCCCGCCATGCCCCTGCTGTGATCTGAGCAGGAGGGAACAGAGTGACCAGGGTCCAGCACACGTGGGAGTCTTACAAAAGTGCCCCTTTTAGCCCCAGCACCCTCACCCCCTGCCCTGAGGCCTCTGTCACTTTGAAGGCTCTCCCGGGGGTCAAAGCCGGCCGCGCCCCTGACCCCCGCGCCCCAGGTCGTCGGGAGGCTACTTACTCTATCTGCCTAAGTAGTGGGAGCCCCCGCCTGAGATGCGGGACCTGTCCGGCCAGGTTGTTCTCCGCCAGGCTGTAGGGCAGAGAGATACCTGTGAGTGGGACACCGCCCTACCCACCGCCACGCTCCCCTCCCCCCCATCCCCTCCCTGCCCGGCCCAGGCTCCACTGCCCCTACTCACCTGATCTCTTCCAAGTGTGGGCATCTATCCAGGGCCTGGCCCAGGCTCAGCACCCCCGCGGGGCCCAGACGGCTGGACCGCAGGCTGGGGAAAGCGGAGAGGGTGAGCGGAGCCCGGGGAACCAGATGTGGGGGCCAGGGTGCTGGATACCCCCGCTCACAGCCTTGTCTTGGGCTCTACTGCCAGACCTTCAGGGGTCTCTGGGCAATGGCCAGCCTGAGCCTCCTCCCCACCCACCCAGGACCTGGGTGGGCATCAAGGGCCCTAGCTCTGGAGTCTGAGATGCCAAGTTCAAGGCCTGGCTCCTTCATGTATTAGTAAGGTAAGCCCTTGACGCCTCTCCGGCCCTCAGTTCTGTGGCCTGGGAATGCAGTGGGTAGAAGTCCCGGCCCCGCAGGTCTGCTATGAGGCTCCAATGAGACCAGGGACATAACTAAAGGGCTGGGGCCATGCTGCTTGGGGCTCTTCTCCTGCATCGCCCTCTGCTGACACTCCCTCGCTCAGGCCGGGCTCAGGGGGCACTGAGCTGGGGTCACTGTAATTCTTTTGCAGATGAGGAGACTGCCACGCAGAGGGCAGGGCCTTGGCCACCAGGACTCGGGAGCTGGTGAGGGGCTGGTGGCCAAGCCGGGAGCAGGCTGTGGCTCCTTATCTCCCTGCCCCAGGCTCCAGAGGCAGGGGCAGGGCGGGCGGGGGAGGGAGCAGCCTAGTTCCAGAACACGCTAGTCTGCCCCAAGCCTGGGCAGCTCAGCCGAGGGGGCCCTGGACCCCCGAGCGCTCCTGGAAGAGCCCTGCCCAGCTAGTCCTACGTGCCACAGGCAGGGGGCACTCACTGTAGGATCCTCAGTTGTGGGGGCAGCCCCCGGGCCAGCCCCACGGCCGTGGAGTCCCCCAGAGGGTTGCAGCCAAGCCTGGAGGAAGACAAGGGACGAGGCTGAGCACCGGGCTGGCGGCTCCGGACCGCTGTCCTGTGCCAGCTTGGGGAAGGGAGGGCCAGGCGGGCTGCAGGGACACTCACATCAGCTCCTCCAGGCGCTTGCAAAGAGCGAGGGACTCTGCCAGCTGCACTCCTCCAGCCGGGCCGATGCCATTCGCTGAGAGGCTGGGGGAGGGGCAGACATCAGACCCCAGGACCTCCCCCCTATCTTCCCACCCCCCACCACTGCTGGGACCCCAGGAGATAGCCCCCTCCCAGCCTGATGGGGCAGAAAAGCCCAGAGAGGGTCCGGGACCGGGTGCTGAAGTTAAGGGAGGAATGTCAGCCTGAGGCAGAAGCCAGTGTCCCCCAGGCTGTGGGGTGGCCACAGAGGGCCCTGGAGGTTGGACTGGCCACTCACTCTATCTTCCGGAGCCTAGGCAGCGTGGGCAGGATGGCGGCTAAGTGCTGGGCACCTGTGTCTCCGATCTGGTTGTGGCTTAGTCTTGGAGAAAGGACAGCAGATCTGGAACCATCATCCTGCCACCCGTCTCACCTGGGCCACATCCCCTCCCCAGACCAGGGAGGGGCTAAAGTCTGGAGAAAAGCCTCGGCGCACACTGGTAACGTCCCCTCACACTCTGCTGGGTGACGGCTCCCAACTCTCAAGACATTCTGCCTGATGTCTGCCCTGAGTCCCTCTTGCTGCAACCAACACTTGCACATTCTATCTTTGGGTCTCCCAAGGTTCTATGTCTGGGGTTACGCTAAGCAGGAGTGTGGGAAGGGGACAGGTGTCGCTAATAACTAAAGGGTGTCTCCAAGAAGCCCCTTGCTTTTGTCATCTTCCCCTGCCAAAGTTGTCCTGGGTCTGGGGGAGGGACAGACAACTCACCCCAGCTCCGCCAAGCTGGTGGCAGCCCTGAGAGCCTTGGAAAGGTGGTAGCAGCCGGTGTCACCAATGTCGTTCCTACTCAGGCTGGAGAGGCAGAGGAGAGGCCGAGGGGCCTTCGTCAGGGGTAAAGGCCTTTGCGGGGCTGCACTAGGAACTCTGCAGCTTGCAAAGCCTTTACATCTGCCTGTCACAAAAATTCAGGGGGAAGGATGACGGGCAAGGTGCACATGGCTGTACCCAATGTCCAGGTGAGAAAACAGAGGCCTGGGAGGAGCCGTGACTGGTTTCAAGACTCCCAGTGACCCCCAGGCCAGGTGGAAACGCAAGCCCGGGGCGCTTGCGTTTTGGTCACGTGTTTTGGTCAGGGGTCGCCAGGCCAGCCCGGCTCAGTGCCAGTTTCACGTGGGTTCCGCGGTTCAGGTAATTGGTGCCTCCAGGCATCTTTTTCTACTCTGTGCAAATGCTGGGCTTTTCCTTAAATCCAGTTACTGTGTTTTCTGCACCCCAACTGAGTCTACCTCTGTGAGTGGGGAAAAATAAAGCAGCTGATGCAAACTTAGCCCACGTTAACTATTTGTCTGAGGGTTGTTTTCTTTTGCAAATTAAACGTTAGCCAACTGCCTTCTGTCCTGTTCAGTTATGGGTGGAATGACCTGCTCCCACATTATATGCTCCCCCAACCACTGACCTCACTTCCTAAGCACATTACCCTGCTGCGGGGGAGGGGCAGGGCTTGGATAAAAACAAAGCAACGCTTTGTGTCCGGCTTGGGTTTGTTTCTAGTTATTATATTTTATATTTTGAAATATCACATGGAAAGGGCGTGTGATATTTGTTTATCAAAGTGGCCAGGGGCACAGGGGAAGCTATGAAGGTCACCAGATCTGGGTCTGGACCAGCGATTTTCAGCTAATGTGCTGCAAAATTTTTTTTTTACTATTTTATTTATTTATTTTTGAGAGAGGGGAGGGAGGGAGGAAGGGAGAGAGAGAGAAATCAACTGGCTGCCTCTTGCACACCCCCCACTGGGGACCTGGCCCATGACCCAGCTCTGTGCCCTGACCAGGAATTGAACCAGTGACCTTTCATTTCACAGGCTGATGCCCAATCCACTGAGCCACACCAGCCAAGGCTGCAAGAGTTTTTAAGAGATGCACTACCTGATTAGGCAGAGGCACCGACCTTTTTTCTCTTAGATTGTCAAATTAAAAAATGGCAACAGCTAACACAATAGCCATTTGGTGTAACTGAATCAAAATTATACTTATTTTTTTGGCCAGGTTGGCAAAAAAAAAATTTGGGGGGGGTGGTTTAAAATTCTATGGCTTGGAATGTTCGTAATTTGTGGATGTGTTCCATGAGACGGAAAAGGCTGGCCGTCGCTGGTCAAAGTGTGGTCTGTGGCCCCAGACCAGGTATCGTGTGGGAACACGATAGAAACGCAGAATCCAGGCAGCCCAGGCCCACGGAAACAGAAATGTGAACCAGCCCATGGTGAATTTTGCACGTGAAGGGTTGCTCTAGGCCTTGGCCCCAGCCCCGCAGGCGACTTTTGTAGCCGGGAGGAAGCTGGTGACATTAAGGGACAAGAGCTGTGACACCCACCTGGCAGAACACAGGGATGCCCCAAGGACAGGAGCCCAGGGGGTCCCAGTGCTCCCTTGGGCGGGCGGCCCCAAGAGAGCTGAGTTGTCCGGCTCATTCCCACGGGGTCACTCGGTCACTCACCAGAGGCTCTGCAGGAGGGTCATGCGGCTCAGTGCTTGAGTGAGCGCAGCCAGGGTGGAGTCGCCCAGCGGGAAGTGGCTGAGGCTGCAGGGGGAGAGACCGGAGGGGGCCTTGGCATTGCTGGGGTCGGACCCAGCTGCAGGCCGAGGCCCGCCCGGGACTGCCAGGACAGCCACTTATAGCAACCCAGTGGGAAAAAAGCACACACAGCGCAACTGCCCTGGGAAATGTGAACGCTGTTCCTTGGCAGGGGTTGTTAGGAAGGCCGTCCGGGCAGCAGTCCTGTTTCTGAATCACACAGCGCCCAGACGACTGCTCAGTAGTCAGAGCGACCACATAGGTCGCGTATCCCAGGGGCCAAGCCCTGGGCTCAGGGCCACCTTGAGAGATGGGTCTGTTAGCATCCCCTCCTCTGCAGCGAGGAACGCTGAGGCTCAGAGAGTTACAAAGCTCGTTCAAAGTCACATCCTAAAAGGATCCGCATCGGGGATGGAACCCAAGGTTGTAGGACTCCCATTCCTGGGCCCAACCCTGTGTTTCTCATGGGAGCCCCTCCTCCCAGCCCCCGGCCTGGGCAGAAGAGAGGGGACACAATACTAGCTGATGCTTGTCTGGGGTGAGCTCTGTGCCGGGCTCTGTTTTAGAACATGTGTTTATCTCAGTTCGTCCTCATGACCGGCCCAGGAGACAGGTGCAGCCATTATCCTCAAAGCCAAAATACGGGAGACGCAGGGAGAGGTTAAATACCTTACCTAAGCTCACAACATTAAGAGGTAGGACTGAAAGGGACAACTGTTCTGGTTCGCCTACAATCAAAGGGTTTTCTAGAATGGGGGACAGTCAGCCCTCCCATGTACTGAACCTGAAAGGGTCAGGTCAGTTTTCCGACCCACCAGACTGCTCGCGGTTCAGTTACCCCAACTCGCTTGATAGCTCACGGCTTAATCAAAATTCTCTCCCATCTTGCACATAGACACCGGGCACCAGCCACAATGGCCAGTGGTCAGCAGACCTTCATGCACCTGGGTGCCTGCGAACAGTCAGCCCTTTACCTGACTCACTGCCCTGACTCACATCCTGAAACCCTGAGGCAACAGTCTAGAAGAACAAAAGACTAACCCCTCCCTTATTCCCCTACGACCCCACGCTTCTTCTTTAAAAACCCCACCCTCGCCCCCTCTGCAGCGGCCTTCTGCCCAGACTCAGCCTGCCTGCAGTGCCGCTTCCAATAAAGGAGCTTGGACTCGATCATCAGGAGCCGCCCATCTCTCTAGCGCATGTGCACTTCTAACAGAAACCCGGCGGTGTGGCCCCTAACCAGGGTCCAAGGCCCTAACTGCTTTGCTACGGAGAGACAGGCAGAAGATGTTGGCTGGATTTGAGGGAAGCTGCTTGTCAGGGAGGAGACACTCAGAAATGGCAGATCGGAAGCTGGAAGAGGCCTCTGCGCGGGTCTGTCCTGTTCTCCGTAACTCCTCTAGCTCTAGGCCCTGGCCCAGGCGCCCAGGTGAGCACGTGTTTGTCACACACATGAACGAGACGATGAGTGACCTCATGGGGCCTCCAACCCTCCAAATAAAAGCAGAGGGGCAGGCACATAGTGAGGAAGCCAAAGGAAGAGTAAAGTGGGAAGGCAGGTGGGCCTTCTGGTCAAAGGGCTCCCTGATGCCACCCCCTATGCCTGGGACAAAGAGGGCCCAAGGGGCAGAGTTCCCCTGTTCATCAGCAAAAAGTCAGAAGGCTACTTTTAAACTGCATTCCAACCCAATGTGGAAGAAAATTCTGGAGAAAAGTTCACCAACTGCTCTTTCACAGTTTCCCAGGGGCGTCATTCTCAGGGGATTTCATGTCCTTTGTTACATATTTCTGTCATGACAGAACGTTTTATAACTAGCACGCATTTTTGGTCATCGGAAGAACTTAGAGATTAAAAGTGGAAGATGCCGCATTAAATGTTCCATCTAGATGCTGTGACATCTGTGCAAGATGGGGACCTGTCCTTCAGGCCAAGGCTGTTTCTGGTGTTTCTAAGAATTTGGGGGCTCCAAATTATAGAGCAGAATTCAAGTTGCCAGTACCTAAAAAATGATGGTGGGCAAATGGCAGCAGACATCTGTGGATTGTTTTTCTGCCCAGATTTTGTTTCCTTGGGGTATTAATAGGGCCCTGAAATACCACTCCCTACTAAACCCAGCGATTGAGTGGGCACGTGACCCAGATCTGGCCAATCAGAATACAGTGTGCTCAGAGCCACAGTGATTGATTTGGAAATGGGCATATGACCCAAGCTTGTACATTGAGACTCAACCTAGGGCCTTTGTTGCAGGTTCTGGGAGAAAGGTGCTCCCTCTCCTCTCCACTGAGCTGGAAGAAAGTTGGCCTGTAGCCACAGAACAGCTGCCTGAGAATGAAGTCAAGATGGAGAGCCGGAGACAAGTGGGGGTGGGGAGAACAAATATAGAAGCTGGATCCAGCCAAGCCTGAAGTCCGTTGCCTTGTAATTTTCTGTGATGTGAGCCACTACATTTCTGGCTTGGCTGGGTCAGCATGAGTATTCTGTTTGCTGTGACCAAGCATTTTGATAGCAATCAGAGCCAGGTTAGCAGGTAAAAAGGAGGGCATTTAGCTCACCGGGGACCATTCAGAGATTGGACAGTTGTTGTTTTTTTTTACCCAAGGATTTTTTTTCATTGCTTTTAGAGAGAAAGGGAGAGAGGAAGGGAGAGAAACAGCTATGCAAGAGAGAAGCATCGATTGGTTGCCCCCTGAAAGCACCTGGACCAGGGATTGCATGTGCCCATAACAGGGATTGTACATGATCCCAGGACCCAGGACTGGGCCCACAACCCACACATGTGCCCTGACTGGGAATCGAACCCACAACAGTTCGATTATGGGATGACACTCCAACCAACCGAGCCACACTGGCCAGGGCAGGGATTGGACAGTTTGAGCTCAGAGAAGATGCAAAGGTCCCTGGGCACGCTCCCCATAGCCCCTCCCCGTTAGCCACGCCACTTACTCAAGCCTCTTCAGCCGGCGCTTGTCTTCAAGCGCCCCCTGCAGCACCGAGGGGCCCTCCTCGCCCAGCTGGTTGTTAGACAAGCTGTTGGGGACCGAACGTGAGGTGAGGGTTAGACAAGCCTGCTCGGCCCCTGGAGCTGAGCGGTCTCGTCAGCCCCCGACCCCCTCAGCCCCGCCAGGAGCTGATCCTAGACCACCCCTCCTGTCCAGGCTCCACGGGGGCTTTCCTGGCTCCAGCAGTGGGGCTCTGGGGTCCTTGAGGAGGGGGCATGGTAGTCACAATGGATCCAGCTAAGAAAGATGCTTTGGAAGAGGAAGGCGGGGATGAGGGACAGAGACGAGGGGCGCGCGCGTGCACACACACACGGTGATCCTTTGTGTCCTGAGCTCTCCCTGCACCCCGACACCCTTAGCCGTCCTGGGCAGAGAAGGGTAAGGAATCATTTGACAACTGAGGCAATCTCAGCACAGAGAGGCACAGCTGGTTGCCCAGGGTCATCCTGAGTGACTGGTAAAGTGGGACCAAGCACATAGTATTCAACGTTCCTCAGGCCATACCGAGAGTTGCTGGGCTCCATCAGGGAGAAAAGTGACCTGGTGAAGTCTACTCCCCACCCCCCCAAGCCACCCCCGTCCTCTCCACCCCCAGCCCGCAGATGAGCTGGCCCTCCCCAGCCCCTCCACCCCGAGGCTCACTCTAGCTCTTCCAGGAGATGACAGTGGCTCAGACAAGATGCCAGGTAGGCCTGGCCCTCAGGGCTCACACAGCTGGAGGTCAGCCTGGTAGGGGTTAAAGGGCAGCAGGTCAGGCAGGAGCTCTGGGCTTTGGGAGCTCTGAGTGCTGAGGCAGAGGGTAGGGAAGTGGGTGGGGAGTAGTTCTTGGGGGGCAGTGGGAGGGGGCCTTCCTTTCCTTCATAAATCTCCCACAATGGGCTCATCAAGTCAAGACAGAGCTTGGAGACAGGAGTGCAGACCAGCTGAGCATTTTCCTGCACCTCTGGTCGTTCAGATGGAAACGTCACAATTGATGCCAAAATTGGGCATCACTGTAAAGTCTAGCTAGTTACTGTCATGAGCTCTGCACCTTTATTTAAACAACGACAAAAAAAGTAGCAAGTGCTGGAGAGCTGGTAGAGATATGCTGGCAGTCAGTTGGATTAACACATAACTGAAAGTTAGAAAAGCTCTGTTTTGCAACCATCTCATTGTATTTCATCCAGGCAAGAGTTACCAACAAATGCCAACATGCCAACATTCCGTGGGTGAAAGTTTGAGGGCGAACAGGATGTTTACACAGCTTTAAACTTCTCCATAAAAGAGGCGTGCTAATTAGAAAGGGAAAGGAAAGCAAGTGAAGAAACCTGGCAGATGCCACCTTAACCAGGCGATCACAGTTAACGTCACCAGGAAGAGGACACACAGACATCGTGTACCTCCAGATGTGATGCACTAAGGTCACAACAGTATATCTGTGATATTCCTGCCCAAAATGCAGCCCCTAAATCTAAGTGTGAGGAAACCATCAGGCAAACCGGAGCTGAAGGACAGTCCACAAAATCACTGCCATGTAAATGTCATGACAATATCATGAGAGGCAAAGAAGGACAGAGTACCTGTCCCAAAGTGAAGGAGGCTAAAGAGAGATGACAGCTAAATGCTGTGTGTGATCCTGGATGGAATCCAGGACTGGGGAGAAAATGCAATCAGCCACGCTATTGCGACAACTGGCAACACTGGAATATAAACTGTAGTTTAGATCATAGAAGTGTAACAGTGTTAAATTTTCTCAATGGTATGTTTTTACTGGATTATGGGAGGGAATGGCCTTGCTCTTGGGAAATTCACTGCAATATTAAGGGATAAAGGGGCATGATTATGCAACTTACTTTCAAATGGCTGAAAGGAAGAGAGAAAGAGGGAGGAGGGAAAGAGACAAGGGGAGGCTGAGGAAGGAGGGAGGGGAGAGAGGGAAGAAAAGAGCAAACGTGGAAAAAAAGTTGACAAAGGGTGAATTTGGGGAAATGGCATATGGAAGTTCTCGGTAGCCTTGCAACTTTCCTATTAGGTTGCAACTGTTTCCAAATAATAAAGAAAAAGAAAAAAAGCAAAGGGCATGGAAAGGGGCCTCACTGTTCTTGCCCCATCACCATGTCTATGACCGCACACCCTGCCGGCTTCTCTGCGGCTGAGTTGTAGCCCCAGCCCACAGCATTTAGGCACAGAGTCCCTGAGCTCAGGTGGGGAGGGCAGGTTTGAGGGGGCGTGCCAGGGCAGAGCAGAGGGGCAGGGGTCTCCGCTGTCTGCATACCGGAATTTCTTCAGCTCTGAGAGGGACAGGAAGCTTCGCAGCAGCTGGGAGCTGGCCTTGCAGAGGTTCACCTGGGACAGGCTGGAAAGGGCCAAGTATATTGTGGAGAATCAGGATGGATCATCAATCACATGGAGATGGGGAGGCCAGGCGAGGGGAAAGGACCACCTGGAAGGACCACGGAGGGGCAGGGCTCCCCCGTGCCACCCGGAGCTGTCCCCCACTGGCCGAGCGGGGTTCCCTCCTGCAGAGGGAAGCAAGACTGCCAGGGTCTGGCACTGCCCCAGGCTCCGCTGATCCCCGTCCAGGCCTGGCCAGCCTCTCATGGGGCCCGGAGTGGGCACCGGGGTGGACGGGGGAGCACAGGGCCCACGACGGTCTCGGGGAGCTGACCTGAGCTGCTGCAGCCACGTGCACATTCCCATCAGCTGCCGGGTGAGGAGGCTGTGGTGGGTCTCAAGGTCACAGTGCGCCAACCTGGAGGGACACAGGGAGGCAGCAGTTTCTGCACACCTGGATCAGTATCAGGGACTCAGTCCTTGCCTGCGAGGACCTCCCCTTGAGGGGGTATATGACTGCTAATCGAATACAGCTTCCCAATTTACTATTCAATTACAGGAAGTGCTGTGAAGGAGGGGTCCAGACGGGGAGCGGCATGGCTGCGCAGGTTGCTCCCTGCACAAGGAGACCTGGCCAAGGAGGTGAGTTGGGGCTGGATCCAGCTGTGGTCTGTTCCCCAGAATGTATACTGCAGGGCTGCGTTCATTCCTAAGGGAGGACTTGATTAAATCTTGGGGTTCAGAGGGGCCTTGCTAAGGTGGTGGTATTTAACCTGAGGCCTGAAGGATGAGGGGGAGTTAGCCAAATGAAGAAGAAAGAGGGGAAGAGAGGAGAGAACATTCTAGGCAGGGAACAGCCTGTGCAAAAGCCCTGAGGTCCACAGGAGCAAGGCGGCTTTGGAGGAGCCGCACGCTGGTAGGGAGGACTGAAGCTAAGTCTGGGGTTCAGGGAGGGGATGGACTGCGTGGAGAGGCAGCTCAAACCAGGCCTCGTGGGCCACGTGAAGGCTTTGGCCATGAAAGGACTCTGAGCAGGGGCATGAGAAATGCTGGTCAGAAGCAGCAGGCGCTACCCCATCACTAGCCCCCTCCTTGGACCCCAGGTACTGGGTCTCACCTGAGGGCCACGGCCTCCGGGTTCTCCTGCCGAGGAAATCTCAGCTGGACGCAGAGCTGCTGCTGGGTCTCGGAGACACTGCGGAGGGAAGGGGTGGCCTGCGTGAGGCCCGCGGCGCCGGCCGGCCCTGAGCTCCCAGAGCCAGCGGGGATCTGGGCGTAAGTCGGGGGGACGCCAAAGCCCTTGCTCTTAGGCGCTCCGCATCATTCCGTTGCCCCGCCGTCACAGAGCCTCGAGGTGTGTTACTGTAATCCAGGGGCCGCTTCTAGGCAACCAGTGTGGACTCCCAGCTGTGTCCCCAGGGACCCAGCAGCCCTTTGTCTTGACCTGAGGCTGCCTTCCTCTTTCTGGCCCCGCGGCCTGGCTACTGCGCCAGTCGCAATGAGCACAGGCAGCCCCTCACATGTGCCTTAGGGGCGCCTGCCATCTTGGGGACCCAGAGAACTCACAGGACAAGAGACTGATGTGGAGACGAGGGTAGGCCCCAAGGGTCAGGAGGCGAGGAAGGATTCAGAGGGGGCCCCTCCCTGGACTCACCTGATCTCGGTGATGCTGCCCGAGACCTGGGTGCAGACGCGGAGCAGGGCGCGCAACCCTACTCTGCCTATCCACGGCTCCTCCACCCTGTCACAGAGCAGCCACAGGTCAATGTCCCCGCGGGGGCATGGGAAAGGGGGAGGGTCCCAAGGGAGCCCTAGAGACTTCGGGGGGTTTTGCTTATTTTAAAACCATAAAATTATACTACTGGTCGTAAACATAACATGGAATTAACATTCTCATTCCAACCATTATTGCAACAATCCAAGCAGAACACATTCTTTTTAAAATAATATTTCTAGGTTAAATAAAATGTCTACACAATGTTACATTGCAAAGAGAAGGAAATAAAACTGTGTATAAAACATGATTCCAATCTTCTATTTGAAAAAAGGTAAAATATATACGGAAAGAAAAAGAGAGAGAGATGAGGAAAATATATTAAGTGTTAATGGTAGTTGTTTAGATGGTGGCATTTTCACGATGGTTTTTATTTTATTTCTTTAGTTTTCAATGTTTTCTGGACTTTCTAAATGTGCATACATTAACTTAGACGCAGGAAAAAGAGTTGTTTAAAATTCCTACTTCTAAAGTTACACTGTATTTTTTTAAGTACTATTTTCTTCTTATGCTTTTATAGACTTTTCCACAAATTTCTACAATTAATATACATTATTTTTAGAGTAAGAAATGTTTTATTTTAAACTGTCATTTTGGACGATCCAGTAATGCTGGGTACATACCCAAAAGAATTGAAAGCAGAGATACAAGAGATTACTTGCACATTTATGTTCATAGACACATTATTCAGAAAAGCCAAAAAGTGGAAGCAACACAAGTGTCCATCAGTGGCTGAGTGGCTAAACAAACTGTGGTCTGCCCATACGTGGACTATCATTCAGCCTTAGACAGAAAGGAAATGCCGCCCTGGCTGGCGTGGCTCAGTGGATTGAGCACCGGCCTGCCGACGAAGGAGTCCCTGGTTCCCCAGCCAGGCCCGTGCCTGGGTCGCAGGTTAGGTCCCCAGCAGGGGGTGTGTGAAATGCAACCCCGCAGGGATGTTTCTCTCCCTCTCTTCCCCTCTCTAAAAATAAATAGATATAATCTTTAAAAAAAAAAAAAAGGAACTCTGAAACAGGCTACAACATGGACGAACCCTAAGGACATCATGCTGAGTGAAAAAAGCTGGTCACAAAGAGACAAACGCTGTACAATTGCACTTTTGTGAGGTTCCTAGAGTCCTTGAGGCCACAGGAACAGAAAGTAGACTGGCGGTGGCCGCGGGCTGGGAGAGGGGAACTGGGAGTGGGGAACTGGGAGTTGTTCAATGGGGACAGAGTTGCAGTTTTGCAAGAAGCTTCAGTTGTGGAGATTAGTTTGCACAACAATCTGAATGCACTTAACGCCACTGAACTGTACTCTTAAAAATGGTTAAGATGGCCAATTTTATGTTATTGTATTAGACCACGGTTTTTAAAACAATGTTATTTTGGGGAACAAACAGGCTTTGAGTGTCTCGTCATAGTTGGCACTGAGAAGTGACCAGTACTGGACACGAAGTTTCTGGTTTTGACCCAAATCTGTAACTGAAGCACCGCCAACCTTTCCATCTAACTCCCAGCTCCCGGAAGGCCAGGGCCGAGGGGAACAAACTCAGTGACATCACAAGGCCGCGACCAGACAGGGCCGGAAAGTGGGTCAGCCTGCAGCACAGCGGGCCGGTTTTCTCAACAGGTCGCTGACGTGAAAGTGGGGAGGGTGACACAGATTCAGAGCCCTATGAGTCAGCCCCTGTCCCCAGCCCATGCAAAGGGGACCTTGACTGCCTCCTGGACCCAGCAGGCCAGCTGCCCCCTGTGGGGACAATGGGGCGTTTTCGATTGGACAGGGGAACACTGGGCAGTGAGGAGTTGCTACCGAGTTTTGTAGGTGTCCTAGTTCAACTGTGATTATGTAGAAAATGTCCTTATTTTTTAAAGATTCATGGTGAAATATTTGAGTGATATTTTATGCGCTCTTCAGTTAAAATGAAAAAGTGAAGCCGATTTGGAAGAATAGGGACCATCGTCACACCTAGGCGATGGGAATAGGAATTTTGAAAGCGATCGTCCTTTTCGGCTATCTTCTCTCTTTTCCTGGAAGTTTTATCTAAAATGACCACAGTGAGCACACGAACATGGTGTTTGCTGTATGCTCTTTTGGACCTCAGCTCGGAGTCCTTTGTCCCTTAGTCCCCAAGCTGAGGCCCCACCAGGAAGAGGGCGGCTTCTCTGTGTGCCTCAGGGGGTCTCTGGGACATCAGGCAGGGACAGCTCTGTGCGCCTGGGGGCAGGGCTCTGGGTGCAGGAAATGGCCAGGGGGGACCCACACTCCAGTGCCCACCCCTGCCCCTCGTTCACGCCAAGGCCCCCGCCCAGGGGCCCAGAGGGAGACGCTACCTGAGACTGAGCAGACTGAGCACTCCCGCTGGCCTCCTCACCAGACTCAGGAGGATGGCCAGGTCGTCCAGGCTTAGGCAGCACCGGATCAGCCTGGGGACAGAGGCAGGTTACAGCAGCGGCTCCGGAGGGAGCTCCCAGCCCTCAGCTGCCCCATGGGCTGGGCCCGGTAACTCACGCGAGCTCCGTCAGCTGACGGGCCTGGCTCAGGCCAGTGGCCAGCCTGGCCATGTGCTCTGGTCTGAAGATGCATTCTCTCAGCCTGAGGGCAGAGGGCAGAGTCTGGGTGAGGCCTGTGAAGACTGCTGTCCTCCTTCCTCCCAGTCCCCACCCTAGGACCCAGAGGGAAGCCCCAACTGAGCGCCAGCGCCTGCACCGGGACCTGAGAAAAGGCCAAAGGGGCAGCTCCTGCCCTGGGAGCTTCCTGTCTTTTTGGAGAGACTCACCCCCAAGAAAGTGCTAGAAGTGAGACACTTATTGAGCCCTGACTGCAGGCCAGGCCCTGTGCCAGCCTCGGGGTGAGCTAGGCGTGCCTGCCTTCCACGCTGCCTCGCTGCGGCCCAGCAGCCTCGTTCACCGGCCGAGATGCACACTAACCAGGGACACGGAGCTGGGCGGGTGCTGGGTGTCAATCCAGCTCCGCCTGGCTCCAGACCCCAAACCCATAGCCACCCCCAAGTCCCACTTCATTCCAGCTTCCCTTGGAGGGAGGAGGACCTGGGGTTCTCTCTACGGCCCTGCGCTCCGCGCACCGGCCCTGTGTGGCCAGCAGCCAGGCCCTGGGCAGCTGTCTGAGTGCAAACTCTGTGTGTGGTGTGGGTGTGGGTGTGTGCTATGTGTGTGTGGTGTGGTATTGCATGGGTGTCATGTGTAGTGGTGGGTGTGTATGGTTGCACATACTGTGTGTGCGGTTTGTGTGCTGGGTGTGTGTGTGGTGTATGATGTGCGGTGTGTGTCTGTGAGGTTTGAGAGTGGAGCGGTGCATGCGGGGGCACAGTGTAGGGGTGAGGAAGAACGTGGGGAGGGGTGCCAGTCAAATCAGACTGCGAGGGAGATGACCGGGCTAAGGAATCTGAAGTTCACCTCGGGGGCCGTGGGGAGCCCCGGAGGGCTTGGCGCAGTGGCGTGGTATGCGTGCTGGGAAGATGCCCCCAGGGCTGTGGGGTTGGGGGCTGGGTGGCTGGAGGAGGCCTGGCCAGGAGCAGTGGACCAGTTTGGAGGTTATGGTCACAGCTGACATCAGACATGGAACGGAAGTGACCCAGTGCAGGGGTGAAGAGGGACAGAGCTCAAGGCTACTGAGGGGTAATAAGGATGATGATGATGAGCTCAAATGAACCAGGTCCTTTCCAAGAACTTTATACGTTTTAACTCATTTAATCCTCACAGTAACCCTAAGGTGGATGGTCCTACTATTATCCCCGTTTTACAGATAAGGACCTGAAACACAGAGAGGTTAAGTCACTTGTCCAAAGTCACACAGCGCATAAGCAGTAGAGCTAGGATTTAACCCCAGGTGACTCCAGAGTCCAAGCTCTTAACCCTGATGCTCCAAAGCCTCCAGACTTGGAGTTAGATGTGGCTGAGAGGCACAAACAGAGCGTGAAGGCCTCGCCTTGGGGCTGGGAGCGTGGGGCTTCAGGGGTGCGGATGAGAGGCAGAGGGCATGGGGTAGGCGGCGTGAAGAAGGAGCGTGCCCAGCAAAGGAGGAGGGTTGGAGCCTCCAAGGGTCAGCCTCCTCTGTCCCCGCTCCTTCACATCCCGCCTCACCCCAGACCAGCAATTACCTCAATGTCTTCTCAGTCTCCTCCTGTCGGGAGAAGTGAATCCAGAAGCTCTGCTCAGAGCCCAGGCTGCAGAGAGAGGGGTATGAGGAAGCCAGGGGCCTGCTGGCCTGCTCAGGCCCCGGCTGCCACGGGGCGCCCGAGAGGAAGGGGCTGGGGCGCGGGAGCGAGGGAGGCAGAAGCCAGCCACGGCAAGCCCTCCCCGCTGGAGGAGACCCCCGCGCTTCCTGTGAGCGCACTCAAACCTGGCCTCTCCCACCCGGGGCCTCCCTGGTCCCATGGTGCTTGGGGCTCAGAGTGTGGAAACTGTGATCCCACAGTCAGAGAACCGTGAGACCCCGAGGCTGGCCCAAGTCACGCGGACGGAGGCCGCCAAGCGCAGGGGTCTTGCCTCCCCGGCACCATCGGAGGCGCCAGCATCAGCTTACTTCACAGTGGCCTCGCGGACACGGGGGCAGGAGGGGAGGGTCTCCAACAGGCACAGGGCGCTTTCCTGAGACATGCTGTTGGCACTCAGGCTGGAAGGGAAATGAGGTTCAGGGCAGGGTGTGGGGGCAGCCCCTCAGCGGAGCCCTTCCCAGTCCCCTGGCCCCCCTCCAGCTGTCGTCTCCACGACTGAGAGTCCCTATGGGTGGGGTCACTGAGGTCTAGAGAGAGAGGCCAGAGGGGCCCTCTCTCCATACGGGCAGGAGAGACAAGTCCCCGCGTCCTCGAGAGCTGCAGCCTCTGTGCCTGCTGTCCCTTTGGTCTGGGACAGGGCGCTGACGAGGCTGGGCTGGCAGCTCAGGCCCGCACGGAGCACCAAGCTCGGCTGCCTGGCCGTGGGCTGTGTCCTGGCGCTGGCTGTCCATCCCGCAGGTCACCGGGGAGATCAGGGGACCCTCCCTGTTGTGGGAACATCTTCAAATCGGTGTCCCATGGATTGGATCAGAGGAGATTCAGGGATGGGGGTGGACCGGGAGTCGGGACAGCTCAGATCCCGCATCAGCTGCTTAGGGATGAACTGTCACTCCCTGCCTGCGGTCTGCTGGGGTCACCAAGCTTTAGTCGCGGCCTCCTCTGGTTGCCTGGTGGGGCTCTTCCCCTGCTGGGCAACAGGGGGAGGAGGAACGGGCCCGAGGCGGGGAGGTGGCAAGGTAAGAATCATCCCTTTTGCCCTGGCTGGTGTGGCTCAGTGGACTGAGCGCCGGCCTGTGGACCGAAATGTTGCCAGTTGGATTCCCGGTCAAGGCACAGGCCTGGGTTTCGGGCCAGGTCCCCAGCTGGGGGCGTGTGAGAGGCAACGATTGCTCACTGTTGTTTCTCTCCCTCTCCTTCTCTGCACCCCCTCTCTAAAAAAAGAAAAAAGAATCACCCCTTTCCTCTCCCCAGTCCTTGTCCTCTGGCGCTCTCTAGGGATCCCTTACAAGTCATACTCATGCTCTTGGCCCCGGGAGTCCTCCTCCGTGCTGCCCCGTGAGGTTCCTGCGACTCTTGTCACTTACTTGAGTGAACCAGAGATGGGCAACTGAGGCAGCTGTTTCAGGAGGCACCGGAGCCCGTCGTCACCCAGCACGTTGGCGGAGAGGCTGCACGAGGTAAGAGGAGGCGGTGGGCGGTCACTTGCGCCTCCTGCGCGGAGGCCTTCTCCTCAGCTCTGTCACTTCACCCACACAGCACTCTTGTCACGACCTTCACGTCGCTGCTGCCAGTCAGCGCGGCTTGTGTCCCCACGTAACCCACCGCCGCCCGCTTCATCCCATGCTCCCTGCTTGTGTCACCACGCGCCCCCCCCCATCTGCAGGAGAACGACCACCTCCACCGACACCCACACCCACACCCAGCGCTGCGGAGTCCCCGCACCACAGCTGAGCAGCCCTCATCCTCCCCTTCAACGCTGCGGGGCCCTCCCAGGATGCCCCGGGGTTGCAGGAGTTAGAGGAGAACCGATTAGCTTTCACTACGCCCTTGACCTGCGTCAAGGGAGCCGCCATGGTGGGACGAGAGTCAATTCAGGAAAAAGGTGTTTCCGAACGTGGTGGCCCAACAGAGTCCCTCTTTCCATTTGGGGACACAGTCTTGGAAATGGCACTTGAACACTCTCTCACTTTCCTTCATTGTAGCATCGTGGTTTGTGCCAGTTTAGAAACAGGTATGACCAGCAGGCCCTGGAATATCTGATTTTTGTCCTGTGTTTTTGAGCTCATATTGTTTCTGATTCTGACACTTTTGAGGCGTGTTTGTTTTGTCTTTTCCTGAGAAACTAAAGAATTAGTTTGTCCCGCGAAGCCCTGTAATAATAATTTTTCTTGTACAGGGCCTTTTGTAATAATTTTTCTTTAAAATAAGAAAAAGTGCCCTTTACAATGAAAAAAACCCCAAAACTCAAACACATATTGCTTATCCCTCTTGCTTTAAAATACATAATTTCCATCAGCCATGTTTCTCTTCATGGCCACGTCATGGCAGGGATTCAATTTAATTTTTTTTCCTGTAGATAGCTTTCTTTGGCTCTTACAGGTCCTAAGCTGAACTCATAACAGTTGTGAAGAGACTGCCCTGTACTCACTGTGTGACCTTGGACAAGCCCTTAAACTCTCTGCGCCTCAGCTCTCCCATGTGTAACATGGGGACAATAGTAGCTCTTCTTAATATTTTTTTATCCATGTTGGGGATACACTATGTGGGCACCCAAGAAAGGCCACACAGATACCACTTCTCAAGAGAACAAAAGCCCACGGGGCCCCACCCCGCTGGCTCCAGGACCCTCCACCAAAAGGCTGAGGCATTTGGTACTTTTAACCCCCTGCCAGGCAATCCGGTGGGTCCCTTGTGTGCACGCCCAGCAGCCAGCAGTGCTCCAATGCCTTGATCAACCCGAGGCCAAGGGGCTCCTGTGGCTCTTTTTTGGAGGACTCCCCAGTTTGGATTGAGGGCACACTCTGAACTAGTTCCACCATGGCAGCAGTGAGGGGGTGGGAGGGACAAAATGGGGGCAGGGGAGCCTTAAGGATGGGACCCAGAGTCCCGGGCATTGCGATCGCTGGTCCTGAGGGGTGTTAACTACACACACACACACACACACACACACACACGCACGCACGCACGCGCGCCCGCGCCTAGAGCCCCCCAGGCGCATGCTCCCAGACTCCTCTCCTCGCTCCTCTTCCCTGCACTTACTCCAGCTGGCTGAGGTCTTCACATTTCCCCAGCAACGTGCACAGCGGCTCCACATGCTTCTGGCTGAGGCCGCAGCCCCTGAACCTGCTGGAGGAGGGGGAACGGGCTGGGACGTTGAGCCTCTCCTAGGGAGTCTGCCCTGGCTCCTGGGGGACAGGGCCTCATCCAAGCTTGGGCTCTCTGCAATGTCCCGCACCCACCACTTCCACCTCCCCCACCGCAGGTCCCCACGGGCTCCCCGACCTGCCCTCGCTCCCTGTGGGGAGGTGGCTCTCAAAGGAGGACTTGTTAAGATGTAAAACCTGGGAACTCAGGTCAGAGGGCTCACTCAGGAACTCTAGGGACAACGCTCTCCAGGTGGCTGATTCAAGCTCCAGTTGGACCACGACATCTCAGGGTCATTTTAAAAACAGGCATGGGCGGGGTGGGAGGGTGGGGGGAGAGGGCGAGGTCTGCTCTCCCAGAGGGCAATTCAGTTGGAATTCAAAGAGCCTTGAAAGGCTTAAAATGAAACCATACAATTAGTTACAGGGAGAGCCCAGGACCAGCAAGTAACTAAAAAAAAAAATCTTAAAATCAGGAAGTTCCTAAAATTAGTATTCAAATTTTTATCTGTTACTTTCCTTCACTGTTTTTCCCCCAGTCTTAAATTCCCTTTTATGCTATTTTTATTTCCTAATTTTCAATCAGCTCATTCTTTTTATTTTCATTTATTGTAAATGGAAACCCTGTGTCACTCACTCCAGTGGGAAACTGGCATCGTAGGCCACAGACAGACCGTGAACACCTGGCAGCAAAACACCACCCTTAAACCCCAGCTGGTGCTGACGCCTGCGGGGGCTCGCCCCGGTTGAGGAGGGGGCTCAGCGTCAGGTGTTAGAGACCCATTGACAGCCAGCAGGGACCCCTTCTTGGTCTGAGTCAGGCAGTGGGGACAGCGATTTCACGAAGGACCCAGTGAAGCTGGCCTCTGTCCTACCCTCTGGAAACCTCTGACCTAGACACTGTCAAGGTGTTCTAGAAGTCAGGGTCGTGTCGGGCAAGGACGGGAATCATAAAACTGCCGCTAAGGCCGCCTGTTTTGATATGGCTTGCAGGCTAAGGATGATTTTTCCATTTTCAAAAGCTTGAGAAAAAAAATCAGAGGAATAGTAGTGCACGACACAAACATCATATGACGTTCAGGCCTCGATGTCCTATATGGAGTGGGCCTGGCACGCAGCCACCCCCATTGTTGACAAGCAGTCTGCGCTGCTTTTGAGCTACAGCAGTAGCGTAGCTGTGACAGGCTGTATGGCCCGCAAAACCCCAAGTGTGCATAACCTAAGCCTTTACCAAAAGTCTGCCTGCCCCTGAGCTGCGGGTGCTGTAGGACGGCCTGTGTTTCGGACCCCAGGCACACCCTTCCCCGCTGTGAGGGGCACAGTGACCACAGCCGTGAGGAGATGTGCATAAGACTCTCAGAATAGTGCCCAGCGGCCCTGGCGGAGTAGCTCGGTCGGTTAGAGTGTTGTCCTGATATGCCAAGGTTGCGGGTTCAATCCGCGGTCAGGGCACATACAATGAATGCATAAATAGGTGGAACAACAAATCGATGTTCCTCTCTCTCTCAAATCAGCAGAGGCTCAACAAATATTAGCTCTTCTGTTTATTATTTCACAGCTCAGGATGCTCTGGTCCAAGGCCTCTCAGGGAGCCCGTGGAATCAAATAGTTATCAAAACCGTTCTCTCTGCATCCAGAGGGGTCAGCCTCCTGCCCCATTATCCTGCCTCCAGCGCGACACCTGCCCCCTCCCACCGGGGCAGCCACAGAGCTCTGGCTGGACCAGCAGTCAGCAGGGGAGGGGGCACTCGCATCTGTGACACCCAGGCCCCCCACGGGGGCCCATTTAACCCTTGCAGATGCCCTGTAGCACGGGGTCTCCTGGCTCCTGCTGCAGAAGCTGAGAAGCCAGAGAGGTTAAGGAGACTTGCCCAAAGTGCCAGGCCCTTGTGGAGCTGGGATTTTTAAAAATATTCTTTAGTTGTGTTTAATTATTGATTTGAAAGAGAGAGAGACAGATACAGAGAGAGAGAGATTTGTTGTTCCACTTATTGATGCGCTCAGTGGTTATTGTATGTGTCCTGACATGGGATCGAACCTGCAACCTTGGTATATTGGGACAATGCTCTAACCAACTGAGCTGTTCGGCCAGGGCTCTGGGGCTGGGATTTAAGGCCTGGTGGGAGGGTTGTGAAGTCCTTTTTCTTGAGTTCTCAGTTCCTGTCCAGTCTGATGTGTCCTCCTTGCCCTTGAGAAAGGCTGGCCCTCCCTGGACCCCTTCCTCTTCATGTGGGAGAAAACAAGCCCCCTTGCAAGTCCTTCTGGGGGAATGCTCTGCACATCCTGTGCTGTCTGCCATCCGGTGGCCCAGGAGGCAGGTCGCCTGGTCCCCAGCACCCACTGGCTGCCAGGGCAGGGCCCCGGGGCACTTACCCGCAGCGCCCGCCTTTCTGCTCCTCAGGAGACCTGAAGTGCAGGGTCACCTCATGCAAGGACCTGGAGCACACAGTCCCTGGGTCAGCCGCCCTGGGCCACAGCCTCAGGATGTCCCCCGGAGGCACCCCTCCGCCAGAAGCCAAGCCTCTGGCTTGGGTCCTACTGCCTCCGTCCCCACCCCCCACCCCTCAGCTTCAGCCACAACCCTCCGAGTCTAGCCCAGCGTCCCAGGGCAATGCCCACCTGAGATCCACCTTCTGAACTCGTGGGCACAGGCAGAAGAGGCGAGCCAGCAGGATGGGGCTCCCGAAGGACAGTGGCGTCTGGCTCAGCCTGAGAGGGGAAAGGGGTGGGGCCCTAAGTTAGCAAAAATCGGAGCCCAGCAAGATCAGTGGGCAAGGAACCAGGCTAGGCTGGTGGGGAAAGAACCAGAGGGTGGGGACGGCAGGCGGGTCAGCATAGCAGTAGGGACTCAGGAGGCACAAATACAGGCCTGGGGTCACACAGACGTGGGTTTGAGCGCCAGTTCTGCTTACTGGCTGTGTGTCCTGTGCGTGAGTCATTTAAGCACTCCGAGCCTCAGTTTCCCTACCTGGACAACAGGACTCTACTCATAGTATACCTTCCTCGGCAGGCGTCATGAGTGAGGATTTGTTATATTAAGTGTGCGCACTGCCTAGCCAGGGGCGTCCAACCTGGGGTCTGCAGGCCGCGTGCGGCCCAACACAAAATCATAAATTTACTTAAAATGCTTTCAGATTTTTTTTGTGATTATGTGTTGCCATGCATTTAATGTGTGGCCCAAGACAACTCTTCTTCTTCCAGCGTGGCCCAGAGATGCCGACAGGCTGGTCACCCCTGGCCTGGCTGATCCCGCGCTTGTCGACGTACTGCCTCTCCCTCCAGCCCGGGCTTCATGGGTGGCCCTGCTGACAGGGAGCGGGACGCTGCGGGCCTTGGAGCAGCTTCTCCACCTCAGCACTACCGAGATCTGGGGCTAGGTGATTGGACACTGTTGGGGGCTGTTCGGCAGGATGTTTGGCAGCATCTCAGGCCTCTCCTCACTAGATGCAACTAGTAGCACTAACTATCCCCCCCTTCCCCGACGTGTCTCCAGCACCCCAAACAGTGCCTGGCCCCCAGCAGTGCGCAGGCTCACTGGACTGAGCAGTAAGTGCTGGCGACAGGCAGGCTGGCCACTTCGCTCCAAAGACAAGGTGCTGTGTGACTGGGGTATAGAGAAGTCCCTCTCTGGTCTGAGGTTTTGCGCCTGTTCATTTTAATGTGCCACCTTCTGTGTCCAAAGCGGCCTCTCCGGACCCATTCCCTGCTAGCAGGGTGGGGCCCGAGTGGGTGCCGTGGGGGTGGGCGTGAGCTCCGCCGCACTTGCCCGCCCCTGGCATGTCACCGCCTCCCGCCTCCATCCCCACGGGACTCGGGGCTGGTGGGCACCCTGGCTGTGCCGGGAGCCGCCCCAGGTGTCCCGGAGATCCTTGGCATTAGATCGTATGTGGCTGTTATTAATGATACGATTTAATTTCCTGTTGTATTGTTCCATCTCGGCTGCAGCTTTTCTGCTTGCTAGAAGATTGAAAGTAAACCCTATTTAAATTCTAACCAGTCTGAGCTGAAATTAGGAAGCAGAATTTTAAATATTTTAGGGGATGCTGTTAAATTCCCCTTTTACCAAGTTGGATGGTGACCTTTAAAAAATGGTGTGCAGCTACACATGACTCCCATGTGTAAAGTCCCTTTCTAGGAGCAGGTGATGTTTCCATGGGCGGGGAGAAGGCTGATAGCCTACCTGTCCCATCCCTAGGGGAGGGGTTGGGGAGCATTAGTCCCATTTATCAGATGAGGAAACTGAGGCCCAGAGGGGTCAAACAAGTGCCCCAAAGGTTGATATAGGATGAGGAAAGAACTGGAAGCAGCCTCCTGTTCCCCCTTGTGACAGATAAAGAGAAGGAAGGATGGGGAGGGAGGGGATGGTTTTGCAATGCACAGAAAAATGGGCGAAGCAGCCTTACTGCAGGGTGCTCAGCTGCAGGAGGCGGGGCAAGTGCCTTAGCAGGGTCTCCAGGCTCTGGTTGCTCAGCACAACGCAAGACAACCTGTGAAACGAAACAACCGAATGAGCGGCGGAGGCTCCAGGGGGACAGCTAGGAGCTGGCCATACAGCCAGAGCCTTCCTGTGCTGGGGTGTGGCCTAGACATCCCCTCTGGGCACCAGGTCCGAGTCACCACGAGGCCAGAGGAAAAGGAAGGCCATGTACGTTTGGGAAGCAGTGCGTTATGACAAATTCGTTTTCCTTGACTCCTCAGAAGCCTGCTTTTTTTGCAGCATGCGCTGTAATGCTAAACAATACAAAAAACTGAAACCCAAAACCAATACAGAAACGAAAACAAAAAATACTGGAAACAGCCTGGGTGTCTGCCAAGGCTCTGGGTGGTGGTGATTTGTGGGGGGTGGTGGCTGAATAATTTGTGGCACATGCAAACTGTGGGGGGAGGGGTAGTATTAAAAGGCAAACTCGTGTACAAAACACACAGACAGGGCCAGTTAGACATTGATGGGGTATTTGATGATTTTCATATGTTATAAACTAATGTGACTATTTTAGGGTCCTTAGGATTTTGACTAAATTTAGTTTTAAATTCTAGCTCCAGAAATCCTCTCTCTCTTTACCTCTGAGAGCCCAAACCTTTTCTCTGGATAATCAGCAGCCCCCGAGGCAGCAGGAGAGAGCCCGGGTCTGAGGACTGATCAGGCTAAAGGTCCCGTCCTGACTCAGTTAGGTCTCAGCTCCTGAGCCCTCAGGTGGGACAGACCCCCTGGCTAGTTTCCCATGAGATCGGACAGAGGGACACTGGAAAAGACCTCAGAGCTGTCCTCAAGACCCAAAGGAATGATTCATAGCCCTTATCTCTTCTCCTCTGACGCATCAGTTCCCAGCACACCTCCAGCCCCCTAACCGCCCACGCCTTGTGACTCTGTCCTGTAGACTCGGTACCCTACAGCCCTCGGGGAGTTCTGCTTTTGAGCTTAGCTCCCCATTCTCCCAGAGGGAGCCATTCATAATGAAATAGCCAACATTTCCCCCTGCAGTTCTTGGTGTCTAGTATTTTAGCATTTGGCTCTGCTAGTACCGGGTGGGTGACCTCTTTCTGTTCCGCAACAATTATGGTTTTGTGGTGTTAAAAAATAGAGTACTGATCTTTTCACTATGCACACTGAAATACCTACAGATGGAATTATATGGTGTCTTAGAATTGCTTCAAAATCACGTGTGTGCAGGCACGTGTGTGCATATGTGCGGGGGTGTGTGTGTGTGTTGGGACCGTGAGTGATAAGATATTGACAGAGGTAGAGGGGAACTATGTCTCCACAACATTATTCTCTCTGATTTTATATATGTGTATACTTGATAGCCTCCATAATAAAAGTACTTTTTAATGAAAAAGTAACAACAGAAATAAAACCTGACCATCGAGGTCAACATCAGCAGTGAGAAGTCAAGTGCACAGCACACACCGGAGGGAGGATGAGGAGGCCACCTCACTGTGGTATTTCTTGCTCCAAACCCGGAACCCCAGTCCAACCATGGGGAAAACATCAGACAAACCCACGCTGAGAGCCATTCAACAAAACGTCTGACCAGGACTCCTCAACACTGTCAAGGTTGTGAATGACAAAGAAAGAAACTGGCACAGGCCAGACGAGGCAAAGACCAGACGACTGAACGTAAGTGGGACCCCGATGGGACTCTGGATCAGAAACAAAGCCATCATGGGAAAACTGGTGACATCTGAATCGAGCCTGGAGCATAGTTAATAGTCACGGACCAAGGCTGGTTTCTTAGTTGTGACAAATGCACGTGCTAATGAGTGATATTACCAACCAGGGACTACTGGGTGAGGGACACCCCTGGACTAGCTTTGCCACTGTTCTGCATGTCGAGTCTGAAACTATTCTAACTTTCATTGGCTCCTGAAGTTTTGACATTCCAGGAAAGCCCAGTGCAGAGATCTTCCGTGATAGGATCCTGTGTGTGCGAACAACGCTGGAGACCCCTCCCTCTGAGCCCAATGTGTCTGAACTTGCGGGAAGGCGTGGAGGGACACACATCAGGTAGACAACATGGGTAAGCTCGTGACAAGGGCCAGAAGGGCATTTGAGATGGGAGCTGGAAAGCAAAAAAAAAAAAAAAAAAAAACTAGCAAAATGGAAAACCACACTTGGTACAATGTGAAGTAAAACTGCAGAGTTTGGCTAGTCTGTGAGTGCAAAGAGGTAGCAGCTGGACCTGCAAAGGGACAAGGAGTAGCAAGCCCCAAGGACAGTGACAACATTGATTTGAGAGTGGAAGGGGTTGTTTAGGTGAGGCAGGTTGGTCTCGGTTTCTTTCTCTTAGGGTAATTACTGTAATAAAACTACAACAATGAGAACAAAAGGAAAGGCTGACCGTCCACTTGACAGAAGACAAAGCTAGGCCCCTCAAGTTCAAGCCTAAAGCTCCCTGCTGGAGGCAGACTCAGCCAGGACTCCTGGTCCAAGCCCAGGCTTTGGTCACAGCCCCAGGAGTTCTGGGTTGGGGGCGCTGGTCACCCAAAGGGGGATGCCCTGAGGAGGGGCCTTCAGAAGTGATCTGCCCAGGTGGGTGCCCGGGTGGGGCTCCAGGGGAGGAGGGGGCTGACTGGAGCTCCCGGGCGCCGAGTGCAGCAAACGGGGAAGGTGGAGCCCCCAGCCCAGCACAGCCTCTCTTGATGGGAGGGGTGAGGAGCTGGGTCTCGGGGAGCAATGAGGCTTCCATCAGTGGGTCGGGGAACTCCCACGGGGTTAGGCTACAGGGTCTGGCGGGAGGGAAGCAGAAAGGACTGACCTGGGTTCTAACGAGGACAGCCCCTGCACCCTGCCCCGCAGGTCGCTGCGTAGATGCCCGCATTGTGCCCTCAGGGGCTGCGCCCTGCTTACTTACTCGACTTCCAGGGGCCCTGGGCACTTCTCCAGAGTCTCACAGAGGCGGGCGACGCTCAGGGGCTCCAGCTGGCACTCCCTGAGGCTGCAAAGGGTCAGCGGGCAGAGCAGGGGCTCAGGACCCCTGTCCAGCCGCAGAGGCTCTTCGCTTCCCCCAAGAACACTCCTCTCCAAGCTGCTCCCCAACCGGGCACACTCTCCCCACCCAGGTCTCCCAGAGCCCCCGCTGTCCCCGCTTTGAGCCTCTGAGTGCCCAGCTGCCCTCCTTCTGCCCCTAAGGGTGCCCCGAGTCCTGCCAGGTCCAGGCCACCCTCGCCCCTCACCTGGACCACGTCAACACCCTCCGGCTTTCTCCGCTTGCCTCCCTCCCATCTTTCCTCACCGTGCCTGGGCCCTCTCTTTCAACAGCAGAAACCCTCTGCGGCGCCCCATTATCCTTAGGCTGACAGCAGAACGCCTTTGCCACAGCCTCGCGCCCCCACGCTCCCTGGCTGGGCTCTGCCGGCTGAAAAGCTTCTCAAGAGCCCAGTGTTCACTCCCCCAGGCTTCCGTGCCATCTGGCCATCCTGCCTGACACCCACCCCCGCCCCCGCCTCGGGACAGCCGTTCAGCCCCAGCTTGGTGGGAAAACTGCGGCCCAGAGAGTGGAGGGGCCCAGCCAGGGTCCCATAGCCCCTCACGGCAGAATGGGAAGTCTTCAGGGACATCAGCGTGGCCTTGGAAGGCCAGCCTGCCAGCTCCGCCACCACGCTCACTCTCAGCCTCTTCCTTTCCCCTGCTATTGGGTTCTCTTGCCGCTCTCCCAGGCCCCAGCCTCGCCCTCCCCCTAGGGCTTGCCTCACTCCCTGAGCCCCCACCCCATTGCGGTTACCCCCAAACAAGAAGCGGGTAGGACGGTACCAGAAGCTCCTGGGGGTGCGGGGCTGACGAAACCCCGAGGACCGGGCTCCAGCTGGGAACTCTGGCGAAGGCCCGCCCACCGACAGATTCCTTGAAGTGGGGAAAACATTTTGAGAGGGAAGTTCAAATCACCCATATTGGAAAACAAGACTCATCAGTCAGGGCTGGAAGGAACCCTCGTGACAATCAAACCCCTCGCTGTACAGAGGGGGCCACTGAGGCCCAGGGAAGGGAAGCCACAGTGAGAAATATAGTGGCTTACACCTGTCCAAGGGGTGGCACCTGGCCAGGTTAGGGGGAGCCAGGACAGAGCCCCCCCTTGCTCTGATCACCGATGTGGCCTTTGCCTGACTTCTATCTCCACATGTCTTCATCCTTTTGGCCTCCAAAACCCAGAGGGTCCCCGGAAGTAGAGACCCTAGACTGGGAAGCAAGATGGTCCCAGCTTTGGGCTATCCCTGGTTCCGGACAGCCACCTGGCATGGCGATGCTGTCCCCTGTCACGTCAGCCCAGCCAGCTCCACATTAGGTGGCCCCTGTGCCTGCCAACCTCACAAGGGAGATGAGGCGCCCCACTAGGGGGCAGCTGGTACACCTGTGAGGAACTAACTATTGCTTGTTGTTTACAACAGAGACGTGGAAACTTCTGCAGAGCACCAACGGTTTTTGGCTTCTTGGATGTGAGCCTCAGAATGTGAAAGGTCAGTGACTCACATGAAAGCTTGAGATTTGCAAAAGTCCCCGAGGGATAGAAATACAGTATTTTCTACTTCCCTCTCACACAGCCAGCCTCTGTTAGCACCTGCTCTATTGGCGTCACATGCCTGTCCCCGCCCTCTATCTGTACTGGCTTCTTCCAAGAAAGATTTAAGGCAGCTGATTACTGCAAATTTATATGGGGGGGGGGTGCAGTTTACTCTAGAGCTGGCAGTGGCCTACAGGGGTCCGGGGTAGGGGGCTCTTGCAGGAAATGGGGACCAGAGGAAGAGGGGAGCCCACCTCACCCTTAGAGCTCTCTGTCCTTACCTGGCTCTTCTGTCGCCTCTCAGGATAACACGTTGGCTCTCAAAGCTGCAGGGAGAGAGGAGGCAGTAATCAGGGAACAGGCGAAGAGCCTGTTTCCCAGGGAGGGGCAAGAGAGCAGGCTGAGCAGGGCCAGGGGGCCTGGACAGTGGCCCGGGTTCTCAGCAGACACTGCGAGAACTCTGCTGACAACCACCGTGTGTACTGAGGCACATACAGAGCAGCATGATCTCTTTTGCTTCTCACGCTAAGACGGTGAGGTAAGGAAGTATTCTTGTCCCCATTTTACAGATGAGGAAACTGAGGTGGGAGAGGCTCAGGAACCAGCTCAAAGCCACACAGCAGGGAAGGGATGAGCCTGGATTTGAACCTGGTCTGTCTGCTATCACACGTCCCACTCTTGGGAGGGGAGGGTGGGAAGTGGGCCAGCTTCCCGGGAAAGCAGGGACGGTCTGCATTGCGTGTCCCCGAGCTGCGCGGCGGGGGGCCTTTTCCCTTCTACAGTCTCGTCAGCTCCAGAGCCCCCACAATGAAGACAGGTCCCTGAGCATTCACTGGTCACAAGGGAGCTCCCAGTTTTCTTAAAAGTCTCCCAGAACAATCCAGAGAGTGAGTAAGGGAGTCAATGGATTGGGACCCATGGAGAAATTGGACTGTCTCTGGGGCTATATTCACTCATTCACTCACTCATTCACTCGCTCATTCAGCAGACGCCTGTCACATGCACTCGGACCTGGTGCCCCGCAGGCCCTGGGGATGCTACACTGAGAATGAAGCAGGCAGGGGTGGGGGGTGGCGGGAACCAGGCGGGGGCCCAGGGCACACTCACCTGACGTCCAGCTGGAGAACCCACCGCCGCACAGTAGAGAAGCACTGGGCCAAACTGCATACCGTGTCCAGGGACAAGCCGTTCTCACTGAGACTGGAGAACCACAGGAGCGGTGTTGACAGGGACACCCAAGACTTAGAAACACCGTCCCTGTGGTCCCTGTGGTCAGAACGCCGGGCGGGAGAGGGCTCTCCCTGACCTCAGGCGGTGAAACTCGCTGCACTCAGCCTGGTTAGAGCGCCTCTTCCAACTCCCCACTGCGCAGACGGGGAAACTGAGGCCCATAGAGTGGCAAGGTCTTGCCCGTTGTTACAAGACATATTGGTGACAGAGCTGCGATTAGAGCCCAGTGGTCCCCTCCGTCTGCAATGCATCTGGGGAGCACTTTTAGGATGGGTGCTGCCCAGGGACAAGTAAGAATGGAGGGGCCTCTTGCTGGAAAAGCAGGAACAGAGGAGTCCCTTTCCTTCCTAGGCTGTCAATCTCTTGGGGTGGTTCTCAGTCACCACTGAAGGACACACTCCCTGGGACGGGGACCCTGGCAGGTGACTGTAGACTCTCACAGTTTTCTTAAAAGTCTCCCAGAACAATCCAGAGAGTGAGTAAGGGAGTCAATAGATTGGGACCCATGGAGAAATTGGACTGTCTCTGGAGCTATATTTCACTCATTCACAGCACTGAGTCATACCAGAAGTCACAGCACTGAGAAGATCACGTGGGGTTTGCTCCGATCAGCATATAATTTGCCTGCAGGGGTGAGGCCTTCCTCCCCACCCTGGTCCAGGTCGCCCAAAGCCAGGCAACCTCTTCTCCCCAGGATCCCTGAGAGACCGTCGAGCAGGAAGGGTTCTCAGGCCACGGCTCTCATTCTGAGGCTGCAGTCAAAACACACCCCTTCTACAGCTCATGTGATAACTGGCTGGGAACTGGGGGATTCAGAGCTGATGCAAATTGCTCAAGGCCACACGGGGAACCTAGGCCCTGTGACTTCTCAGAGCTCCTCTCCTTTTATCCCAGAAGATCTAGGGGGAGGAGGGGCTGTGGGAACCAAAAACCACAGGGGTCTTTTAAAGACCAGGAACTCTGGTCTGCGGTGGACAAAGTCTGGGGGTTCCTCCCGGAGCCTCCCTCCCACACTGAAAATCTCTCCTGTCTCTGCCAGGTGCTTGGGGCGCTCCAGGTGTCCTGGGCACCTGCCTGGATGTCCTGTGGGGTATGAACCCTCCCTGCCTGCCAGCTGGTACCACATCAAACAGCCCCTCCCTGCAACCTCGGGCTAGAATGGCTGCCAGCCATTCCTTTAAAGAGCTCCGGCTCCCCACCATGCCCGCCTTGCCCCAGGTGACTCGGGCTTCCCAGAAGTGAGTTCCAGAAGCAAAACCTTACATCAGAAGCTGGATCTTTGAGTCACAGAGGCCAGTCTCTGTTTTCATGAGAATCAGACACTTTACTGGGCACTTGGCATGTGCTAGGGACTGGCCTGGGCAACTGGCAGGTATTTTCTTATTTAATCTTTTGCATAACTCAGGAAAGAGTGAGACAGAAGGAACACGGAACACCCCCCACCCCCACCCCTCCCATATCCCTGCATTCTGATGAGGACAAGCTTCAGAGGCTCTGCCCATCCAACTACTCACTTCAAGGAGTGCAGAGTGCCCAGCCTGGGGAGCCACGGAAGCAGCTGGGCCACACCTGGGTCCCCCAGAGCATTGCCTGATAAGCTGGGAGGGGGAGGACAGGTTAGTGGAGGGAGGTGGGCAGCAGTTTGACCTCTTTACCCCCCAATCACACTGCTTCTCCTGAAAAGGGGCCAGTTCTTAGCAGGTCGCACTGGGTCAGCTGGGGTTTCCCCCAGCGTCCTCATCCTGAAGTTTGTGACCCTGAGGGGGTCAGGGGTAGGCTTCAGAGGAGTCAAACGAGAGGGACCTTTATTCTCAGGGGAAGAGGCACAACTTTCACCATATTCTTTATGGGGTTCCAGTTGCAGCAGGAAAAGACTGCTAATCTAAGTTTTAAAAGCAAAACAAAATCCAACACCTGCACACCTATTAGCCTTACCCTCCCGCCTTCCCACAGCAGCCACTCACTCAAGGTGGCCCAGGCTGCGGCTTCCTCTCAGCGCTGTGCAGAGCGGCTCGAGGTGCTCAGCTTGCAAACCACAGTGTGTTAGCCTGCAGAGAGCAGAACCACAGCCCTGAAGCTCCGCGCCGCCCCCACCCCCAGTGGAGACCACAGCAGCAGCCACCCCCAGACACACAGGCAGAGGACGAGGCTTGCAGGAGATGGACGGGGATGCACCCAGCACTCAGGCAGAGAGACAAAGAGGGACCAACACACAACACACAGGTGGTCATATGCAGGCAGAGAAGAATCAGAGAGTCAGAGAGAGAGAGAGAGAGAGAGACAAGGTGGACAGACACAATGGGGGCGGGGGAGACAGATGCACACACTCAAACATGCACACATGTGGTGTCAGGGGAAGACGGGCAATGAGGAAAGGGCCACAGGAAATGAGAGAGACGAGGTCTGAGAGAGACAGAGAGAGAAGGAAGGAGATGCTGAGGGACAGGGAATAAGAGAGCGGGCCAGCAGAGTGCTGAGGGGCGCCCTGGGGGCCGAGCTGAGCCTCCATGCCCAGGGCCCAGGATCTGAAGAGAAGGGCCTGCAAGCTCCCGGTCCTCTCCGCCCAGCATTCCCTCAGCCCCTCTGGAACTGGAAGTTGGGGGCACTAAGGGGAGGGGGCCCTAGGTGAAGAAGGCGACCAGGAGGCTGCCCTGCGAGCCCCGCCTGCAGTGGGCTGGGCAGGAGAGGCGGGAGGCAGGGATGCCAGGCCCCTGCCCCTGACACAGCCGGTCGTGTCATCCAGGGAGCCCCTGGGGCTGGGGGCCTGGGGACGGGCTTTGTGCAGAGGAAGGGAGGAGGCCGGACCCAGACGCAGGACCTGCAGGCTGTCACTGTACCTGACTTGGAGGGAGCACGGGGGCAGCGCTGAGGGCATCGGGAGCACTAAGTCGTCAGGAACCGCAGCCCTGGGGAGACACACGCCGAGGCCAGACTGAGCCAACGCCTCGCCCGCTGTCTCCAAAGTCCGTCCCCAGCCTCTCTCCCCACTGTTTGAGCTCTACATGGGCCTGGAGACAGTTAGACCTTGGTTTCAACTGGGCTCCTCTGCTTTCTGGCTGTGTAACCTGGGGCACATCACCAGGTGCGAATGCTCTTAGCCTGGTGCTTGGTGCTCAATCAGTAAGCGCTCAATTAACCTTGGCTGAGTATCATTAAACCCATCATCATCATCATCATCATCATCATCAGTGCCTTCATAGATGTCAGCCTCGGCTTCCAGCAAGCCTTCAAAAGCTCAGGCCCTACAGAAGACATTGTAGGTGGATGCTGAGGCGCAAAGAGCTGAATCTCAGCCCATGTGCTGGACTGGGGCAACCCAGGAAGGCACCTTGGAGGAGGAAAAACACTCTCTAAAGGGTCCTCGTGCATAAGGGAGCCAGAAATTCTGACCAAAATCAGTGCTATCAGCCAGGCGACCCTGTGGGTGCAGGCCGAAGGGGCTCGGCCTCTCTGGCTACTTGGCCCCTGCCCCAGCACGCCGCCTCCACCCTGAACCACGGGACCCGCTCAGGCACCACTGGGGAAGTGGGGCAGCGGCCCCTCCCTGTAGGCCTGCGTCCCCCTGTAAGCCTGCTGGCTGGCTGAGCCTTCGGGAATTGGTCAAGGCCCCTTGGCAGTTGAGTGGCATTGTCCAGCTTGGGGAGCCGGGCGGCGGGACGTGGCCTTGGCCCAGAGTGGGGCGCGATGGTGTTGGGGCTCTACCTTTCCCGGGTCCCCTCCTGCCCCTCCAGCTCTGAGGTGAACGTGAGGACCACAGTTTTGTCCTTGAGGCTGCAGAGAGAAGAGAGGGAGGAGACAAGAGGTTGATGGGGTTCCTGCCACTCCGTATCATGTTTCGGCCCAACCGGGAGGGACCTCCAAGGTGCCACCCCTTAGTCTTTAGCTGCAGTTCCTTCCCCAAACCTCCCCTAACTTCCTCCGAGCTTCCAGGGGCCTGAAGTCTTTCTCCCACAGAGATTTCACAAGCTTATCAGTCCCTGTTTCCTGGCAAGTCCTTGGAAGAAGACTTCAGTTCTGTAGTTTCTGTTTTGGGCTGCAGGCTGGAACCCCGCCCGTGCCCGCCAGTGGCATCCTCGCCGATGGCACTTGCCCAGCAGGGTGACATCACTGCCAGGCCAGGACAGACTTGGAAATTCCACATGAGGCTGTAATCGACAGCCGCGCCTTGCAAACTGAGTGCAAGGTATATATTTTTCTCATTACAAAAGTCATACTTCCTCCCCACAGAGAACTTACAGTAAAGTAAAAAGAACATGAAGGAAAATCACCCACACTCTCTTCCACATATCAATGACCACCGATAACATTTTGGAGTGGGTCCTTCAAATCTCTTATTTTTTAATGCAGTGAATGTTCTCTTTTTTTCCCCTTAAAAATGGGATAAAAAAGACAAATTCTCTTCTAAAAAAATGGGTTCTCAAGGGACAGATGCAGCAAAAGCAACAAAATGTTGATAATTATTGGTGGAAACAGGGTGTTCGTTAGGCCATCCTTCCTACCTTTGAGTATGTTTGAAAAGCTTTCTTTTAAAAATGATGAGTTAAAGCATTTATATTTCCTTCACAAGCTGCTCCATACTGAAACTGCAGCCAGAGCAGGACTCTGTGTGGTTCTCCTCTCTGGGGGCAGCCAGGACTGAGGAGGATGGGAGAAGCGGGGAGCTCTGGGCGGCAGGGGGCTGGGTGGCAGGCGTGCCCCGCGAGCTCACCTGATGTGCAGGTCTGCCAGGGTCTGGCATGTGCTCAGTACGCTCAGCATGTCGTGCATTCCAGCCACCGTGAGCCCGTTGTCACTGAGGCTGTGCGGAGGGGGAGGGAGGCAGCCATCAGCAGACAGCTGAGGTCTCCAGCCCCGGGCAGTTCCGGTCCCCTCCTCCTGGCTCAGCAGCTGAATGGCTGTCACTCTTGAGATGTCCTGGGTCCTCCCCCAGGGGGTCTCAAAGGATTCTGGCCCATGTGAATGAGCCAAGAGGTGTATGGCCCCCTTTCCCCCCTCAGAGAATAAGGCTCCCCAGCTGGAGCGATAAGAGCCTACTCACTGTTTCCGCCTCTCTGAGCCTGAGTTTCCTGGTATGGAAAATAACCACCATTCGAAGTGCATTTAACAAAAGGGGAAACTGAGGCTCAGAGACGTTAGCTTACTTTCCCTGGGTCACAAAGGTACTCAACGACAGAGCCAGGATTTCAATACAAAGCCAAGCTGCCAAACCAGCCACCCAACCTCAATACTCCCCCACCGCAACCCACACTTGGTGCTAGGACCCCAACACATCCCCGCCAGGCAGCGCCCCACTCCCACCACGCAATACCGTGGCACACCCAACAGCTTAACCTCAACGACCACCCTTTCACCCCAAAACTGTACCCCCACCCTCACACACTGCTTCCCACCCCAACATCCCCCCACAATACCCCACTGTTGCCTCAAGGAGCCACACCGCCCCCTCATCCCGTGTGCGCCCCCCCAGGCTGCTGTAAGGACAAACTGGAACACGAGCCACTGATGGACGAAGGACCCATTCTGCACGGGCCTTTAATGACTGGAACTAAGTGGCTCATGGCAGAGGCAAAAGCAGGGCATGGCCGAATCACTGCCACTTCGCTGGAATTGGGAGAAGGGAGGGGGTGGTGGGGAGCAGCCCCCCGAGTGACCATGGGTATGGGGGTCTGGGGTGGCAGGGACCAGCTGGGGCTCTCCAGGGCCCTCCCTGTCACCCAGCAGTGGGGCAGCACTCACTCCAGCTTCCTGGCGACGCGCAGCTGGGAGATGGCCTCCGCCACCCGCCGACAGCCTCTGTTCTCCAGCTCGTTCCCTGAGAGGCTGAGAGAGACAGGCCCGCTGCCCTGTGCTGCTAGCCTGGGGTCCCCCCCAACCCTCGGCATGCACGCAGCCCCTCACTGACTTCAGCCAAGCACCATTCCAATAAGTGAGCCTTCGTGACAACGAACATTGAAAGGCTGCGTATGGCCTGCCAGGCACTGTCCCAGGTGCTTTTACAATGATGAGGTTTTTAATCCTCCCAACAACCCTATGAGGTAGGCACTAGTATTCTCTTCATCTCACGGATGAGTACACTGAAGTACAGGCTGGTTAGGGCACTCGCCCAAAGGTGGGCCTGGGATTTGAACCCAGGCAGCCTGACTTCAAGGCTCCGCCCACAACCATTTACTTCTGCTGCAACCTACGTAACTGCTGCTTGTGATAAGCTCCATGATGATAGGGGCATATGACCTAGTCTGGGATTGGGGAAGGCTCCCCTGATGTTTGAGCCGCTTGCTAAGAAAACCAGGAGTTCAATAGGCAATGGGTGGGAGAGGGATGGGTCATAGGAACAGCGCATCCAAAGGCACATTTGAGGACCTGAAAGGGAGCCAGAAGGTCTGGATGGAGGACTGAGTGTTGGGCAGTGGGGGGCGGGGGGCAGATAGGGTTTGGTGGTGGGGAGCAGGGTTCTGGATCCCACGAGATTCTAGGACTGGGGCTTTATCCTGAGCAGTGGGAGGGAGAGAAGGGGTCAGGTAGGGGTGCAATGCAGTTCACACTGTGCCAGGCGCAGGTGGCCAGGGGGGACGCAGGGTGCCCAGGGAGGAGGCTGATGGGGTCATCCAGGGGACAGACGAGAGCGGCTTGGGCTAGCGAGGTGGATGGGAAGATGGTTTGCAGAGCGATGCAGGGTATAGGTGGGCTCAGGATGGACTGGCCGTGGGGGCGGGGGCGGCGGAGCTGAGAGGCGTCTGGTCTGTGTGAGCAGGTGGGTGATGGGGCCCTCGCTGTGGGAGGGAGCAGGGGGCGGGGCAGGCTGGTGGTGGCAAGGGGGGCGGAAGCGCGTGAGTTTGGTAAAACCCATCTTTTCTAATCCCGTCTTGCTTCTCTTGGTGGGACAGGCCAGGGCTTAACTCAGCTTCAGTCAGCAAAGCCGCCCTCACCCACCCATCTCACCTGGGGCCAGGACCACTCCCCTCAAACACTTTCTGGCTGCCCCTCGCCTCGCCCTCCTACCTACTGATGTCCTAGCAGGGGTCCCTCTCCGTGACAGGACAGGACCTCCACCAATCCCCACACCCCGCTCTCAAAGGCTCCGCCCAGGAGCTGGGCATCATGGAAATTTCTCCAGCCAGAAGAGGCCATCTCACTCTAGCCTGGGAGGATGGGGTGAGGGACCCCGGGGGCTATGGTTTGGAAGACAGACCTAGCTGTGGTGAGGTTTCTGCTTTGCAGATCTCAGTGACAGTGGTCAGAAGGATGAGGCCCAAATAAGGCTGTCTGAACTTGAACCAGGCCTGAACTCTCCCTAGCTGCATGGCCTTGAGCAAGCCTGCCTTTCTGTGGCTCAATTTGCGCCTCTATAAAGTGTGCACAGTGATGGTATTTACATCATAGAGATGGGAGGATAACAAGAGGGATGCCCGGAAAGCACCTGGCACAGGGCAAGCGCTAAAATGTAGCAGCTGTTAGGATGATCTGATTCCCCTGGATTCTTACTGAGGCACCTTCCCCATACCATCCGCCCAAAGCTGAGGCCCTTCCCATGCTGCACTGCCCTCCCCAGCCCCCGCCTCCTGCCCCAGAGCCTCCTGAGACACTTACTCTACTTCGTCCAGGTAGGGGCCTTCCTGGAGCTGGGCTATGAGCTCCTCCGCGTCATAGATGGTTAGCTGGCAGTTCTGCAGCCTGGGGTGGGGTGGGGGGGCAGAGGGGCTCAGGGCAAGAAGCTGCATGATACCTCCACTGGCTCCTAGCCCCACTGCTGGACGTGGGAGCTGGGGGAGCCAGGAGGCTGACAGACCTGTGGCTAGTCCCGGCCCTTCTGCTCAGTAAGTGGGTGACCTTGGACAGGGCACTTCACATGTCTGAGACTCAATCTCCTCCTCTGTTAAGTGGGAATAACAACGTGTACTTTGCAGAATTTTCAAAAGAATAACAGTGAGGTAATGGATATAAAATACCACAGTGCCCAGCACATAACAAGGGCCCATTAGACGACGGTTATTGCTGTTGTTGTTTTGCCAGATGCTCCCTGTTCAGGCCAGGACAGGCTGTTTGTGTCTTTTCCCTTCCCCACGTCTGCTTTTCGCTTTATACTCCTGCCCCGGCTATGCCTCCCCTGGGAAGGGACCCTCTGCCCACGTCATATTCCTCCCCTTAAGGCAATGGATCCCACTGAGGTACCTGAGCGTCAGGCGTCTGCTCTGAGTCCCTTTCCTCTGGCTGACATTTTTCTGAAGGTCTGGGGATCTGGCAAGAACAAGTCCAGCATTGGCCTGGGCTCTGGAGTCCAAGCTCTGCTCTTGGCTTCTAGGGGCTGAAGACTCTTTAGCATGGCCCACAGTGAAGCAGTAACAAAGACAGTTGCTTGAAGGTGCTGAAGGCACCATCCAGCAAAGCAGCAGGAGCAAAAGGTTTGAGGTCAAATGGAACCTTTCTTCAAATCCTAGCTCAGCCATATATATAGCTGTGTGGCCTTGGGCAAGTCACATCACCTCTCTGAGCCCCTGTTTTCTCTTTTCGAAAGTGAATTGGCAGTATCTAATACATAAAGTGATGGGAGGATTGGACGGGGCGATATCTGGTCAAGTGCCCATCAAAGGCAACAAGCTGAAGTTTTGGAAAAAGCAGCTGCTATCAGTCAAGATGCGATGGTCTCCATTTGCCGGACTGCATGTGGGTCAGGCTGTGAAAAGCCACGGCACCTCCAGGCTCTCTTCCCCAGGGCCAACGGAGGGCTGGGGACTGCGGAGTAGCTGGGATGTTGTGAGCCAGGTCTTCAGAGACCTGGAGACTGGTGCCATCCAGCAGAACGTCCAGCGACGATGGAAAGGTTTTATATCTGTGCCATCATTATGGCAGCTACTAGCCTCCTATGGCCATTGAGCATGTGAAGTGTGGCTAATGTGACTGATGGACTGAAATGTCCATTTTCCTTAAATAAGATAAATTTAAATAGCTGCTTGTGGCTAGTGACTACCGTGCTGGGTATCACATCGCTAGATAGGCAGAGGGGAAAAACGATAGTGGTCCTACTGAATCATTGTCTGGGTGAGGAAACTGAGGCTCGGAGCAGGGAAAGGACTTGCTCAAGGACACAAGAACTTCATTTTTCCCTGAGCCTTAGCTGGGGGGTGGTGTGAGGAAGCAAAGGCAGAGTGGTCTTTCATGGACAGGCAGCTTCGCTTCCGTTGCCCAACCAGGACTGGCCAAGCTGGGACCCACGCACAGCTGGAATAGCCAGCGTTTGCAAGCCAACTGGGTGTCATTAGTGTTCTAAGGCTTTGTTTTTTTTTAAACTATTTCAAAGGTTTTATTTATTTATTTTCAGAGAGAGGGCAAGGGAGGGAGAAAGTGAGGGAGAGAAACATCGATATGCAAGAGAAACAGTTGGTTGTCTCTCACATGCCTCCAACCAGGGACCTGGCCCGCAACCCAGGCATGCGCCCTGACTGGGAATCAAACTGGGAACCTTTTAGTTCATAGACAGGCACTCAATCCACTGAGTCACACCAGTCAGGGCACCATTAGTGTTCTAAGACTTTAAATGCATTAATTCACTTAATTCTCAGAACAGCTCTAACATGTAGATACCAAAATTGCCTTCCCCCCTTTTTTTGGCTAGAAAACTTTCCCTCACATAGTAATGTCATTCTGACGGTATCATTCATGCCTACCCCTACCCCCAACCCAAGGGCCTGGACCACTCTGATGCTTCGGGGGATGCTCCCTCACCACAGGCGCAGGTGTGGTCCAGAGGTGCCGGAGGAAGCTAAAGTCCTTTGCCAACTCTGAGAAGTAAGTTGCTTCTCAGGGCAGCAGTAGCAAGAAGAGTCCCCACGTTGCAGCTCCCCTAAGCTCCCTTGGCCACCTTTTCCCACAGCTGCCTGAGGACAGATTGCATCTCAGGATGAGCCCAGACCCGCCCCCTCCCTAACGTCTTACCCACGTAGCTCTGTGGCTGTCTCTGTGGGCGGGGAGAGAAGGATGATGAGGTCCGTCTTCCTGCAGGGTCAGACACCGAGCCATGAAACCCACAGCCTGGAAACCAGCGCTGCACCCCCAACCTGCACATTCCTGGCTGCACCGTTCCCCGCCCCCCTGCCACACCAACAGCCAGCAAAAGCTGATTTTGTGATTGACAGAGGAACAGCAGAACTGGCAAAAGTGCTCCAAATCAGACATGTAAAACAGTGACTATGTCCTGGCGGGATGAATCCCGAGTGAGTCAAAAGGTGGGGAAAACAACTTTTACACGAGAATAACAATTAGGAGTGCTGGGAGATTTTTACAGCAGTTACTGTGTTTTGGGACGAAGAGGCAGAGCACTTAACCTAGCCGGGCCCCAAACGGCCAACACTAGTTCAGCACCACGGAGAGCGACATGGGCGCTGACTCCTTGGGCTGTGCCTGTGCTTCCTGGATCTGTTGCTTCATTCCTTCATCCGTCCGTCCGTCAGTCAGTCTGTCCATTCATTCACTACTTATTGAGTACCAGGTGCCAGGCCTGAGCGAGGCTCTGGATGCACTGACGTGAGCCAAACAGACTCAGGCAGGTCCATCTTGCAAACTAGGGGCCTCGTCTTTGTCCTCTCCCCTTCTCTTTTCCCAAGACCCTGAACCCCAGGCTCCCATCCCTTCTACTCACCCGACTTGCAGCATCGTGATGGCCGTGCACGTGACCGCCACCTTTGTCAAGCGCAGTAGGGTTGACATGGAGATGTTGTTTTGGCTCAGGCTGCATGATTGTGGCAAAGGTGTCAGAAATGAATGCCCGATCCCATGGGGCCCAGGCCTTTGCGCGCCAAGGCTGGAGGGGGACTCAGGCAGGGGCTCGGGCGGAAGGACTGCTTACTCAAGCTTCCGGAGCCTCGGCAGGGAAGCGAGGACCTCCACGATTTTCAGCACCTCCTGGTCCTTGAGCTGGTTGTCCTGAAAGCTGCACGGAGACCAAGTCCCTCATCCCTGGGGAAGGGGCCCTTAGAAGCTCCAGTTGGCGGGTGACAGGCATGGCCACCTCGTGGGGGGAGATACAAGACAGGGCCCAGCAAGAGCCGAGGACTGTTCCATAGTATCCAACGTGTGCAGCCAGGAGGAGAAGGCCTCTGCTGGCCTCACTTCGGTTATTATTCAGTCCCTGAGGCGGCCTGCCTGCCTGGTGGCCAAGGGATCCAGATGTGGACTCTGAAGGCCTCACGAGGCAGGATGAGGAGACTCTGCTCTCGGGGACATGTCTGGGATGTGTCGGAGGCCCAAGTTCATCGGCAGGGCCTTTTGGCTCGCAGGTGACGAGCAGTCCAGACTGGAGTGTGGGCGAGGCCACTTCCAGCCTCAGCTCTGGCCCCAACTCCCCTGAGCCCTCAGCCAAGTGCATTTCCTCCTGACCTCACGTTCCTCACCTATCACCTGGGGCCCACAGCCCCGCCCTGCCTCGGCTCCTAGCTGCAGGGACAGAAGAACTAAAGGGTTCAAAGTTGCCTTTGTATGTGATCACTCTGGGCAGGAAACACGTTTGGAAATACAGAACTTGTTGACATTTACTTTTCTAAGTATTGAGCATGACCTTAACCTTCTCTTCCACCACGCAGAGTAATCATGCATGAAGACACCCAGCAGCGGGGACAGGGCAGAGCCGTGGTCCAGCTAATGCTCCACTAAGCAAGAGGTGCACCCTAGCGCAGGGCTGCACCTGTCGGGATGAATGGGTGCCTTTTCTCAACCCCAGAAAGGTGCCCGCTTGCAGTAGTTCTGCCAGCGGGCAGCTACGGACGCGCCCTGGCCCCTCCCTTCTTGGGCCGCTCATCACAGACACAGGGCAGGAGTCATTCGTGCCTACGCGCTTAGGTGTGTATGTGGATCTAAGTGTGCATGCACATGCGTGCTGCACGTAGGCACACCTGAAATGGGCATGCCCGTGGGGCAGGCATATCCTTAAGCAAGCAGATGAGTACAAGCATGTATACATATGTACATGAAAGTATGTGTATGTTTCCTGTATTTATGTGTACCCACAGTGCCACCACCTGCCTGCACACTGCGCCCCTCCTCTCAGGGTCACAGAAAGGGGAAGGGGGGGCCTCAAAACTCAAGCTCCTTCAAAATGGCCCCAAATCTTGGGATGAGACAAGCACTTCTCTGGGGTCTTTGGGAGCTTCGTGCTTGGGTCCAGCCCCACCCTGTTCTTGGACTGATGCCTCCCCTCTCTGGGCTGCACTGAAAAACTACTGCCTGGACCCCATAGAATATGCAAGACCCAGGCAGTGACCTCTTTCCACAGCCAGCGAGCCCTCCTGGAGATCACTCACCTGACCTCCTCCAGGTGTGGACAGAGGGGCAAAGCCTGCACCAGGTGGTGGATGCCTTGGGCAGTGATCTTACTTCCTGCTAACCTACAGGGTAAGCAGAGGGGAGAAAAGGGGATGGGACAGGGGTAGGCCCCAAACCTGCCCTGTGTAGGGCTGGGGGAAGGGAGGAGGGCTCCAGCATCCCTGGATGCGGATGTCTCTCGGTTCCAAGTCCTGGCTCACCCCAGCTTCTTCAGGCTCCCCATGGTCGGCAGGCTCCTGGAGAGGGCTTCTGCAAAGGCGTCCCCACACCTTCTGCTCTTAAAGCTGCCACAGGAAGAGGCAAGGTGGCAGATGATCAGTGCTGGACAGGACTTAGAGGTTACCCCACCCCTCTCTGACAAAAGGAACCGAATACAGTAATGCGAATGGGAGTTAATAGCTGTTGTAATGGTTGTAGTAGCAACAAAAAAAATCCATGTTATGGTAGACACTGCTAATTGTCCACCAAAACCTGTTCTCTATGCACGGAGCTACAACGTGGTTTCCCAGCCAAGATGGCACTTCCCAGCAATCGCTGGCAGCTCAGTGTGGCCATATGACTGTTCTCACCGTTGGAATGTGAGCAGAGAGATGTGCCTTATATCTGGGACTGGGCATATCTAGTTCATGCTCTCTCTGCTCCTCCCCTCAAGCCAGAGCACAGATATACCCATGACTCAGCTCTGACCGTGCAGATCAACATGTCCAAGGAGATGATGGAGCAAGAGTGGAAGGAACCAGGTCCTTGCGTGACCACCCAGAGCTGAGCCATCCCGACAGACCTGGATGCTGAGTCTTCCATGAGAGTGAAAAAAAATGCGCCCTTACTTAATTCACTGTGTTTTGCGAGGAGGATGGAAGGTTCTTTGCTCCTGCAGCTTAGCCGTTTCTCAAGCTACTACACGCATTGGGCCTTTACTGTGCGCCAGCAGCTGCACTAAGAAGGGTTTTCCATGCCACATCTTACCTCATTCTCACAACAACCCTATGAAGTAGGTATTATTACTGGCTCATTTGCAGGCTGAAGGAACTCTGGCGAGAGGTTGAGTCCCCTGCCCAAAGTCACATGGCCTCCAGCAGCACAGCCTGATTCACAGGCTCCAGCCCCTGGTCGCGGGAGGGAGACTGGCAGCCCAGATACCACGACAAGAGGAGAGCCAACTGGACCGCCAAGGTCCTGGCAAGGTACGGTGCTGCCCACTGTGTCCCAGGCTAAGGGACAGGAGGAGCCTATCTGTTCTGGTACTCAAGATTCTCATTCAGCCTCCATCAGCAGGGGTCTGCCAGACTGGTTGGCCTCCATGTGCCCACAAGCCTAGCTCCCTCCCAGGTCCCGCCCTGCCCTTCCTCTCACCTGAGATTCTCCACCTGCCCACAGCCTGCCAGGGCCTCAGGGCAGCAGGGCTCCAGGGGACAGCCCTCAAAAGCCAGGTGGATAGGGGCATCCCTGTGCTCCAGGATGTTGGTCAGGGCGGCCAGGTCAGTGTAGGTCAGCAGGAAATTGTGGAAGGGCAGCTGATAGGGGAGGCTGTGGGCCATGAGGCTGGCCAGCTCAGGCTCCTGTGTCTCACCCACACAGTGACACAGTTCTATAACCTTTGGTCCCGTGAGCCTGCGGGTGGCCAGCTTCTTCAATGCCTGTATGACTGCGGCCTGCCTGGCGCCCACCCACGCCTCACCCCGCTGCGTCAGGCTGCTGAGGAAGGGTCGGCAGGCGCAGGATGCCAGACCCGCCAGGAATGTGGGGACGTGGTCTAAGAGACCCAGTCTAGCTTTGGTCCGCAGCACCCAGCGAGAATTAAGGGTGACGTGGCGGGCGAGTGCCTCTCGATCCACCTTGGGGCTGACCATCAGATGCAGGGCAGCGAAGAACTCCTGCAGGCTGAGGTGGGTGAAGGCGTAGCCTGTCTTCCACTGCCCAGGGCCTGTGCAGACCCGGAAGGAGGTCAGCAGGCCGAGGGCAGCCCCGAAGGCCATCACGGGCGGAGGAATGTCTCCGGTAGAGAAGATGACCTTCCTAGTCTCCAGGGCCTCCAGGGCCACCTCACCGAGGCCCATCAGGGAGCTGGCAGCCCGGTGCCCATGAGGGCCGAAGGTGAGTACCATCTGCACATAGTTCTGGGTCACAGTGGGCAGGAGGGCTGCAGACTGGCCTGGAGAGAGGCCCGGGAGCAGGTGGCGGAGGCAGAGGCAGGCGACTCGGCACAGGGCAGGCACCGCACACATCCTCCGGAGACGCCCGTTCAACTGCAGCTCTGCTAGGGCCGCCTCCTGCAACGGCTCGTTGCTGAAGAAGCGGCCCACGTACTCCTCCACCCGCGGCCCGTCAAAGCCCCACATGTGGATCGTGGCTGCCTCCGTGGGCAGGCAGTCTGGCAGCTTCCCTGGGCGGGAGGTGGCCATGATCCTGCAGCCCGGCAGGAGGGTCCCGCGGCACAGGCCAGAGAAGAGGGCGAGGGCTGGACCCAAGGCCTCCGGGCCAGCAGTGTCCCTGCTGGAACAGGGGTGGAGAGCCTCCTCCAGCCCGTCGAAGATGAGCAGGACTCCACTGGCATTCTCCTCCAGGTACTGGAAGACGGCGTCGGAGCCTGCCTCAGGGCTTAGGTACACATCGAAAAGGAGCTGAGGCAGCGTCAGGACACTTGTAAGCAGGTTGAGCTGGCGGAATTCGAAAAGGAACAGGGCCTGGAAGCGGTCCAGCTGGCCATCAGCCCACCGCTGGCAGAGCCAGCGGGTGAGCGTGGTCTTGCCCATGCCGGCCTTCCCTAGGAGCACCATCACCCTCGGGCCCTTGTCAGTCCTGGAGTTGAACAGGTCCTGGATGCTCACATCAGTGCCATCTTCTGCCCTGGGGCTGCCCACGGTGGCCCCCTCCTGAGCGCTGAAGGGTGCTGTGGCCCGGCTCCACTGCAGGATCGTGGGGATGTAGGCCTGCTGGAAGGGGAGGGTCTGTCCTGGCCCAGGGAGCTTGCCACCATAGCGCTGTTGTGCAGAAGTCCTCAGCAGCTGCAGGTACTTCTTGACCAACTCTGCGGGGGGTGGGGAGATGGCATGAGGGCAGGGGGCCTCCCCAGGCCCCCAACCTTCTCACCCTAGTATTGGCTGCAGCCTCAGCTGTGTGTAATGGGAGCACACGGGGGCTCTTGTGCCACCCAAATCCCCGGAAGGAATCGGTTCTGGAGAAGCAGAGACTGGCAGCCAATTAAACAGGACATCTAGTGGGAAAGGGTGGATCACGGCTCTTTGTTTTGCAAACACATAGGTGTAAAGTAAGAGAGGGGAAGGGAAAGAGGGCACTTCTTATCAGAACAGCCTCTCCTGTTATATCTGAGTAATCTGTGGCCCTCCCTAATATTTCAGTTCTGCAATGTCTAACGGTGAGCGTTACTGATGTCCAGGCACTGACCAATCAGAATCGTGGGAACTGGGCCTCCGCTGTTCCAGGTACTGACTTGTGAAATGCTGAGTCACTGGGAGATCTCCGGAGGCCCAGGGGAAGGACCGGGGCCCCTGCAGGGGCCCTCTGGGGGCCCAGCTGCGGGACCGGAGGGGGAGTCTATTTTATATCCATGCGAATCCTCTTACTGCCTGTGAATCCTTTGGCTAGTCCCGTGGGGGTTGGGTTTCTCAGCTGGTGGGACAACTGGTCAAGATCAAAGACTCTTCCGGATGACTGAGGGAAAATGAGAGAAGTTCCGTCTCTTCTACTCCCCCCGAGCCTGGCCAGCGCTCAGCAGCCTCCGTGTCTCTCCATGGGCCCCTGAGGGCTTCTGCCTTGTGTCGGGGGTGTCTCCTGCTATCCTGTTCACCCCTAAACTGGCCAATGAGGGCCCGGGCCTAAGGTAATAATGGTCACCTTCCTTGAGTCCCCTGAATCCTAAGGACATTGTTGGCGGGGGGTGGGGGGGGTGCTCTGGAAGAGGCTAAATAATAAAGCTGTGATCTGTTGGGGTGTTTCCAGCTCCTTCGGCTGAACCATCTCTCTAGAAGTCCCCTTGTGGCCTGTTGGAGAGGCCCCTCCTTGCCAGGCTCAGCCCTCTCCCTTCACACTCAGGACCTTCCATCCTTCTTTTATGGTAGCTTGGGATACAGGCCGTGAGTCATGAGGCCACTGGAGGCTTGTCCTTAAGGAGCACTGTCCAGGATCTGCATCTTGGCCCCAAGGCAACCTGACCCCTACGTTCAGGCCCCCCCTCCCACTTTGGCACACACCTAGGTGCTGCTTCCTGGAATGCTTCGGGCGGGGGGAGGACTCGCAGCTCTGATGAGGCCGCTTGAGGCCTGGAAAAAATAAAGGAAAGAGTGAGGGGTGAGGTTTGGGGGCTGAGGGGGTACCCAGTACCTTTGGGGAGTTCCATTCCACAAACAGGCAGGTAGACAGGTGTGTCCATACTCAGGGACCAAGGCAAGGCAGCTCAGTGATAGGTGCCAGAAGGGACCAGGGACCAGGACAAACAGTTCTGATTTGTTGGGGAGCTGGGATTATGGGGTGAATGTTTTCTGTGAAAGCCTGAGGTTACTACCATGCCCCCCATAACTAAAAAGTTGATACATCTAAAGAAATAAAGGTTCTGAACTTACAGCTAACATCACACTCAATGGTGAAAGACTGAAAACTTTTCTTCCTCTAAGATGAGGAACAAGACAAAGATGCCCACTTTCATCACCTCTATTCAATGTGGAACTAGAAGTTTTAGCCAGAGCAATTAGGCAAGAAAAAGAAATAAAGGAAAGGGAGAAGTAAAATTGTCTGTTTACAGTGATAGGATCTTAAGTTTAGAAAATCCTAGAGACTCCTCAAAGTTTTTTTAGAGTTAATAAATGAACTCAGAAAAGTAGCAGAATACAACATGCAAAAAACAGTTGCATTTCTATACACAAACAATGAACAATCTGAAAAGGAAATAACAAAAACAATCCCATTTATAATAGCATCAAAAAGAATAAAATACTAGGAATTAACTTAACCAAGGAGGTGAAAGATTTGTATAATAAAAACAACAAAACATTACTTAAAGAAATTTAAAAAGACGTAAGTAAGTGGAAACACATCCCGTGTCCATGAATTGGAAGACTTAATATTGTTAAAAATCAGTGCCCTGCAAAGTGACCTCCAGATTCCTGCAGATGCAACCCTCATCACAATCCCAATGACTTTCTTTTTCAGAAGTAGAAAAACCCATCCTAAAATTCACATGGAATCTCAAAGGACCCCAAATAGCCAAAACACTCTTTAAAAAGAAGAACAAAGTTGGAGAACTCACACTTCCTCATTTAAAAGTTTATTACAAAGCTAGAATAGTCAAAGCAGTGTGAATTGGCATAAAGACAGTCATATAGACGAATGAAGTAGAGAGTCCAGAAACAAACCTTTGCATGCCAATTTTTTTTGACAACAGTGCCAAGACCATTCAATGGGAAAATAACAGTCTTTTCCGTAAATGGAAAACTGGATATCTACATGCAAAATAATAAATTGAACCCTTACCTAACACCATATGCAAAAGGTCACTCAAAATGAGCCAAGGATTTAAATGTAAGACCTAAAACAATAAAGCTCTTAGAAGAAAACACAGGGCAAGACTTCACTATGTTGGATTTGACAATGATTTATTGGGTAGGACACTAAAGGCACAGATAACTAAAGAAAATGATGGACAAATTGGATTTCATGAAAATTTAAAAATTTTGTGCATTAGCCCTGGCTGGTATGGCTCAGTGGATTCAGCGCTGGCCTGTGAACCATGAGGTTGCCAGTTGATTCCTAGTCAGGGCACATGTCTGGGTTGTAGGCTAGGTCCCCAGACGAGGGTGTGTGAGAGGCAACCACACACTGACGTTTCTCTCCCTTTCATTCTCCCTCCTATCCCTCTCTCTAAAAAATAAATAAAATTTAAAAAATAAAATAAAATAGAAATTTTGTGCATCAAAAGCCACTATCAACCGAATAAAAAGGCACCTCACAGAATGGGAGAAAATATTTGCAAACTGTATATCTGATAAGGGATTAATATGTGCAATATATAGAGAACTCTTCAAACTCAACAACAATATAAAACCAAACAAGCTGATTAACAAATGGGCAAAGGATTGGAACAGACATTTCTCCAGAGAAAATACACAAATGGTCAATAAGCCCATGAAAAGAGGCACAACATCGCCAGTCGTTAGGGAAATGCCAATCAAAACGACAGTGAGATGCCCCCTCACACCCAGCAGGATGGGCACCATTGCAAACACAGAAAATAGCAAGCGCTGACGAGGACGTGAAGCTGGGGCCCTGTACGCTGCTCTGGGAATGTAGAATGGTGCAGCTGCTGTGGAAAGGAGGGTGGGGGCGTCTCCAAAACGTAAAAACGGAGCTGCTCTAAGACCCTCGATCTCGATACATACACAAAAGACTTGAAAGCAGGGCCTGGAAGAAATACTTGTTCACCCATGTTTACAGCAGGATTATTCATAATAGTTAAAACAGGGAAGCCAAGCAAATGTCCGTCCATGATCGGACAAATAAGTAAACTGAGCTCTATCCATACAATCGAATATTAGCTTTAAAAAGGAAGAAAGTGCTGACACCCGCCACCCCAGGGGTGAACCTTGGGCACTGGCTGAGTGAAATAAGCCGGCAACGAAATGACTCCGCGTACGTGAGGCATTTAGTCAAAATCATAAAGAGGCCAATGAAGATGGTGTTATCAGGGGCGAGTGGTTACTGTTTGACAGGTACAGGGTTTCAGTTTTACAAGATGAAAAGAGCTCAGGGTGATTAACTGCAAGAGTGTATTCAATGCTACTGAACTGTGCCCTTAAAATGAGTATGGCGGTACATTTTATGTCATGTGTATTTTACCACAATAAAAAGAATGGAACATTCTGAGAATGGGGTATGGCCTGGGGCTCGGTGAGGTGGTCCCCATTTGACCGTGGACCCTCTGTGCTCCCGCAGAACATCATGAGGCCCCCCCGGGCGTGCACAGCAGCGCACAGGTCTGTTGGGCCCGGGCTGTGTGAACGGTGAGGGGCCTGGGCCAGCGGGGCTGTAGCCTGAGGCCCCCAGGCTGGGGGACAGGAGAGTGAGAACAGATTTCCCCCCGTGAAGCCAGAGAAAGGGTCCTGGCAGGCCCGGGGCCGGCCATTCAGACTCTCCCAGGAGGCCCCAGGTTAGACCCCTGGGCCAGGCCACAGGCTTGAGGGGTGCAGAGGGGGCGGAGGTGAGAGCCATGGTGAGGGGCAGGGGACACATGCAAACGGACCGGAGACGAGGATGGTTTATGGGACATGGCTGTGACCGGTCTCCATCAGCCTCCCGCAGGTCGGATGTGGGAACTTGCTTACCACCCGCCTCCTGCCCCCCAGCCCCGGGCCTCACCATGGTGGAACTGAGGTTCAGGTTCGCTTCCTTCACCGATTTCCAAAGGACTGGGAAGCCCTGCGTGAGAGAGAGAGGATATCATACACCACCGGGATGTGCCGGTACCAGCTCCGGTCTCTGGTGTCCAGCCCAGGTGATGTCTGACACTGATGTGGTAGCATTAGGAAATTTGCTCTGGGAAGTGTCCAGAAACATGGAATTTTGTTCCCGGCTTGACCACGGCTTCTCTGTGTGACTCAGGGGGGTCCCCGCTTTCCCTGGGCCTCTCTGTGCCTCTCACGCGTGCCCTTACCCTCTCCTTCATGGCCCCAAGTGCTCAGCAGCAGCACCTCCAGCTCCAGAGGCACCTCCCGCTCCATGCACACACAGTGGATGAATGCCTGCCAGGTGGCCGGACCCTGGGCGTGCAGCTCCGTGAGTTGTTCCAAGACCCTTTTTTTGGGGTCTGAGGTTTTGTTCCTGGAGTCCAGGTCCATGTTGGGGAGGAAGAACTTCACCTTGGCCCTCAGCCATTCTGGGTCATCACTGAGCAGCCTCACAAGACAAACCCACTGGCTCCTGGTGCCCAGCTGGGAGGTAATGGGGTCCATGAGGAGCTGATGCTGCAGGGACTGCGAAGGCCGGTGAGGGGAAACAGGTGAGCTGGGGGGAAGATGAGATGATGGAAGCGGTGAGCTGGGGCCACGTGAGCTTGGGGCCAGGTGAGCAGCGGGACAAGTAGGCTGGGGGGAAGCCAAATGGGACAGTCAAGAACTCCCCTCACACACATCTGAGGGGCAGAGAACAGGCAGGCATGTGGCCCCTCCATGGAAGTCCTTATGCCTTTGCCTGGGGGTCAGTCCCAGAGATCGACCTCCTTCTTGGGCATCCACCGCCCCTCCTCGAACTGCACCCGTGTACTGGCTCTGAAATGGACTAGTTCATTCCCCATTGACAGTGCCCGATAATACTTTACCCATTACATGTCCATGGACCCGCTTGTGAGGCTCTCTGTCTGAGCTCTCTGTCCCCCCAAACTTATTCTCCCCTACTTCCTTAGTACTAGAACCTCTGAATATTCCCTGCTCATCTGGAAGAGACTCTATTTCCCAGCCTTCTTTGCCATTAGAGGTCATTAAGTTTTGGCCAGTGGGATGTAGGTGGAAGTATCGTATAGCCTTTTTTACTTCTTCCTGTTGGCTGGAATGTCGATGTGATGGCTGAACCTTGGGCAGCCATATTGGATCATGAGTCAGAAGCCAGGGCTTAGGAGGGTAGAGGGTAATGCTTTCCACCTGCCCTGGACTCTCCGACATTGAACTTGTATTATATGACAAGGAAATACATTTCTATTCTGTTTAAAGCACTGTTATTTAGGGCTTTCTGCTACTCACAGTAAAATGTAATCCTGGCTAATGCAAACCTTCTTCTCTCTCTAGGCAAATTCTCCCCTTCTAAACCAGAACTCTCAAACTGCTGGTAGGAGTTCCAATATAAGGCAGGGACACTTACACACAAAAGCTTAAAACTCTGCAGTCCTTTTGATTCAACAACTCCACTTCTGGCATTCTAGCCTTAGGAAACAATCATGGATGGACAGCAACATTTTCATTACAGAGCTGTGCACTGCAAGAATATTTATAATACTTAAAAACCAGAAACAACCCAAATGTCCAAGAAGTGGGGATTAGTTAACTAACTGGTGGGTTGTTATACAAGGGAATATGCTAAAATATTTCCAAATGTACTTTCTGGTACTATTTTCTGAATAATTGTAGCAAACACTCAGAAAGCACAGACTGTGTTGGGGACTATTCTAAGTACTTCACATGCCTCATCAAATCCTCGATCAGAGACCTCCACTTCTCACCCTGAAAAGGCTGCGAGGCCGCCCAGAGCCAACCTTATCGGCCCCCAGAGGCTGGGGCACAGACAATGTGTCTTGGGGTTCAGACCCCAGCTGTTCCCTTGACCCCAGCAGGGGCCTCCTGGGCATGTGTCCCCAGCCCCCGGCCATCCACCCCCAATCAGACTTATAAAAATAACTCCTCACTCAGGCACAGAACTTGAGAATTCATAAACATGCTCACATCCGTGGGGTAGGCAGGGACCGCCATTCCCCACTGATTAGATGGATACACTAAGGCCAACAAAGAGTAAACGCTGTGCCCAAGGTCCTGCAGTGCGTCCATGGCAGAGCCAGGCTCGGGATGGACATTCCTCAGCCTGAGGCAGCCAATTTCCAAGGCCTTGGAGCCCTCGATGGTACCAGACAAGGACTAAGTCCCTGAACTTTGTGTGATCTGGGTGACAGGATGTGGCCATGGCCTAGGGCGTCTTTTCTGGGCTCCCATGGCCAAAGTCCATGTGCCCATAAGGAAACCATTCAGGACAGCAAGTGCCAGATGATATAATTTCTGGAGTTTGTTTTATTTCATTTCATTTCATTTCATTTATTTTTAAAGAGAGGGAGGGAGGAAGAGAGGGAGAGAAACATCCATGTGTGGTTGCTTCTCAAGCGCTCCCTACTGGGGACCTGGCCTACAACCCAGGCATGTGCCCTGCCTGGGAATTGAATTGGCGACCGGCACTCAATCCACTGAGCCACATCAGCCAGGGCTAATTTCTGGGGTTCTTTGTCCTCAAGTCTCCCCTCCTGCCAGTCTAACACAATGGCTTTCTTTCCACCACTGGGGCTTTAGCCCCCTGGGGTGAAAACATCAAGCCCTTTAAGGACAACCTTCCTGAGCAAAAAAGCATCTGGGTCGTTGAGACTCCTGTGGGAAATAGCCTTGGAGGAGGGATTACAGGAGAAAGGCCGCAGACTTCGGAGACCAGCATTCCCGTTCCCAGCTCTGTAACTAATTTTCAGGTGTTCTCTTTCTCCTCCCTCTGGGCTCTTGGTAGGAGTGCATTTCCCTGCCCCCTTGAAATTGGCAATGGCCATGAAACTTGCTTTGGCTAATAAAAATATGCTGAAGGGTGACCCTTGTCATGTTTGTGCAGAAGTTTTAAGAGCAAATGTGTGATTCAGCATCCTCTCTCTTCCTCTACCGCAGGGCCCAGGAGTACCCCAGGTTTTGGCTGCTGTTCTAGGCTGGGTCCAGGAACGACAATGACATGGAACAGACACCCCAGCCAACTCACAATAGACAAGAAATAGGAGCAGGAAACAAACGTGTCCTCCTAAGACACTGGGACTTTGGAGGCTGTTTGTTACTGCAGCCTAAATAAGCCTATCCTGGCTGATACACTCTTAATATGACCCTCGGCAAACGCTCTTCCCTCTCTGGGCCTCAGTTATATCATCTATGAAATGGGTAGATTAGATACCATCTCAGGCCCTTGCTGATCTTCTATGTCCAGTGACTTCCACTCTCAAGCTGAATGGTAGCTAAGGGCAGGTTTGTTGTGTTGGGGACAACCCAGTGGGGTGAAATCTGCACAGGGAACAGTTTTGGCAGTGGGTGGGGGGGGGGGGGTGAATGGGAGAAATAGAAAGGAGGCAAAGGGCAAAAGTTACCTACTTGGCTTCCTGGTTCACCACAGATGTTCTGGGTGTCCGTAGAGAGGGTCTCATGGGTGCCGGAGTCAGACCTGTGCCTTAAGCTGGATTTGCACATTGTTTCCATAGGGCGGGCATCTAAGGAGAGAGGGGACAGGGTGTTCTCTTCAGTATTCCAGAGACCAAGAGGAATGCTGTAAAGAGGTGCCAGTCCCTCCCCCCACCTCAGCAGACCTCCCCTCAGGACACGTGCCCTCAGAACAGTCCCCTGGCCTTCGCGCACAGGTCCTTTCTTCCCGACCCCAGCTCTTCTTGTCCCTGGACTGTGCACTGCTCGCCCTCCCTGGGGTCCGCTCCTGTCTGCCGCACCTGGCCCAGAGGAGGTCCCTCTTCCTCCTACAACTCAGACGTGCACCTTACAGGGACTTCTGGTGTCCCTGTGTGCCCTTCAAATACGGCTGGCTTATTATAGCTCCTTTATCGGGAGGAAATGGAATAATCCTCACCTCAGATGCCAACTGCCTTTCCCAATAAAACTCCAGAAATCTTAGGATTTGTGACCTCTTTCCCATTACATTAGGTAGTAATTTTTAAACAATTGAGAATAAACACTCCTTTGAGTGAGAAAACCCAGAGGCATCAATCCCTGTTCGCCCAGAGCACAGCAAATCGATGTTCTGGCGCACCCCTACTGAACACAACCTGAGGGACTTTTGCCTGACACCTCAGAATGGACAAGAAAAAAGATGGCTAAAAAGTGCATGGAAGAAAAAGAAAGGAAACAGCCTGGGGTGTGCACTGATTGTGTATCCATGAAGTATGAGGAAGGTAACTGCAAAGTTCCAGAACTTTAGATAAATCCACATAAATAGGGCACATTCTACTATAACAGAGATCCGTACTGCAGTTAGAAATTAAAAAAAAGAAAAGGTTCTCTTGGAGAGGTACTGGGGGTACTAATGACATCTCTTTCAGTAAAATAGTCCAATTCTAACAGAAGAAATGAAGGGAGGCAAGAGCAAATCGAGATAAAGACTTGTTCACCTCTGGCCCTGGGAGACCTGCTAGCCCCGCCCTTGGGGCTCCCGGCGGCCCCACCCGTGGACTCCTGGTGGCTCTGCCCTGTTTAGGTCTGGGCAGAATCCAGGACAAACTGAGCAGAGTGGCTCTGGGGCAGGGGCCACTCCCCACCACCACCTCCTCTGTTGACTCCCAGCGGTGCCACCCTGCTGAGGTTGGGCTCCTGGCAGATGTGGGGACAGACTGAGCTGTGTGGCTCTACGACTGGGGCCCTTTTCCTACCGCACGCTTGACAAGTACAGAGCCATCCCTTCACATGGACAAACCTGGGTCTGTTAGGGCCTGATAACCTCTGCTCACCTCACCCTGATGACTCTCTGAGACGCTGCCTCACCCAACAGGTGAAAGCTAGATGTGGTATGCCCTAGGACATGGCTGAGTTGCCTCAGGCTCAGAGCTGGCACAGAGTTTGAAGCCAAATCAATCTGGTGAACGCCACTCATCCCCACCTGATGATTCATTGAGAGCATATGCCACACAATTGATTCAGTGACTGAACCTAACAGGCAGCCGGCAGGTGGAGGCAGGTGGAGGCAGATCTCAGGGCTTCTTGGGACTTTTGCTTATCTCCCCACACCCCCTCTCCACCCTGTATTGTTAAAGCCAGCTTGATCCTTCCCTAGCAGAGTCCACCACAAACTTGTGGATCGCTTTGTAGCTCCAGACAGGTTGCCCAGGGCCAGTCACAGGCAGCATCAGACATTGGCCTGCACCAGAGTCCCTCCCAAGGGGCCACAGAACCAACACACCCAGTGGCTAGCTTCAGTCAACATTGGAGCAGGCGCCAATTAGCTTCACAAGTGACGTATAAAAGGGGTAACTCAGCAGGCACCAGACCCTGCTGAGGTGAATTCCACTCTGTGGTCTTTCTCAGTTTTTTGCAGGGGATCCTCCCACCTTAGGCTAGGATTTAAAACTGAATTTAATCAAAGTTACAAGGACCTTCGGTTTCAGTAGCTCTACACAATGGATTATTATTTGGCAACAAGCGTGAACCACAAAAACATTGTGCTCAGTGAAAAAAGTTCCAGTGTATACTAGTATGTCAATTCAAATCTTAAAAACTATGGCACATGTTTGTTTTAAGTGTGTGTGTGTGTCTGTGTGTGTGTCCTTGCATCCATAAAGACCAACTCTAGGGCTACATGGGAACCTGGTGACGGGGTTGTCTGGGGAGGGAACCTGAGGACACAGGCAAAGGGGAGCCCTTGATACCGTCCTCTTGGACCACCCTCTACCATTCAAACTTCTTCACAGGCGTGTTTAGGTAAAAAAAAAAAAAAAAAAGAACATTTACACTAAAACATAGAACAGACATTTCCCCGACATATAAGGAAGAGACATGCATGACAATGAGTAAGCACAAGAAAGTACCAGGGATGCCTCCCAGAAAGGGGAGTTCCATGCACAGCGTGATCAATGATGTTAACACTGACTTAGGAAGGCCAGGAAGGTTAAATATCGGCGTCAAGTATGACATAGGCTGACAATTCCAGTTCAAAAGTGATTCATACATCTTGAGGACGTATTTTATTCTATGCTTTAGTTTAATGTTTTTACGTGTGTGGGGACAAAACTACATTTCCACTGGTACTGGGGTTTAAAAAGTTGAACAAATAAGGCAATGAATATTTGCTTAAATGGCACCCACGTGCCTTTAGACTTTACCTATTTTAATTCTCACAGTGACTCCTCTTGGATGCCTTGTGTGCATTTAAAATTTCCAAGTTCAGCCCTGGATGGTATGGTTCAGGGGATTGAGTGCCAGCCTTTGAACCAAAAGGGCTGTGGGTTTGATTCCCAGTCTAGGGCATGTGCCTGGGCTTCCCAGTAGGGGGCACATGAGAGGCAACCACACATCAATGTTTCCTTCTCTTTCTCCCGCACATCCCCTCTCTAAAAAATAAATTAATAAAATCTTAAAAAATAAATACCTAAAATTTCCAAGTCCAACCCTGGGAGCCTGGTCTCCCCCTCCAACATGCCAGCTCCTGCCCCTACCCTCCCCATTTCATGCAGGGCGGCCTCGTGCTTTCTTGAGCCCAGGCCAAAGATGGCTTAATTTTTCCAAGGGCCTCACGGAATCTCACTTCCTTTACCACTGCTGCCTAGACCTGCACCGGCGTCTCTCACCCAGATTCCTGCACTGGGAGAACTGGTCTCCCTTCTTCTGCCCCACCTCCGACAGCCTCCATGGGGGGTCAGAGCATCGAATCCAAATGTGGCCCACGCCACATACCTGTGTCTCTCAGAAACTTCTCATCTCACCTTGCACGAGGGCCAAAGGTTTTCTCCACACTAGCAAGGTGTTTGAACAATTTTTAAAAAATCAAACTTGATAACTTTCAAATTTTTCCCACGGGGCAGGTTGTTTTCCACTTATTTTTAAGTTATCTTTGGGCAGTTTATGTTTTTCTGAGAAAGTTGCTCATTTGGTCAAGAATGTTCTTAGCACGGGCTCCCCTGGCCTTCAGTCCAAAGTGTCCCCGCTGTGAATCACCAGTGTGTCTATGGGTGGTCCAACCCAGGCTCAGAGAGAGGCAGCGAACCGCCCCGCGTCACACAGTGAGCGCTTTCTAAAGGGATCCCAGGCGGGCAGATCTGCAGTCCAGGGTCTGCACCGCTCTGGGTCCAGACCGCGAGAGGAAAAGGGTAGAGGCGTGCCAGGAGGCCCTGTGGGGGTGCTGGTCTCACTCGGGGGTCTGCGCAGGAGCTTCTTTCCACCCTGTGCTTTCGGGGACCCTTTCCTGCCCTCTTGAAAGCACTTACTGGCTAGAGGTTAGAGCAGGGAGCGGAGACCTCAGGCCAGCTACCTCCCTGCAGCCCGGGCCTTTGCCCCGGCTGTTCCCTTTGCCTGGGGAGCCTCCACCTCCAGTCCGCACGTGCACACACGCACGTAGGCAAGCGCACATGCGTGCACGTTCACACATGCAGGTACGCACATGCATGCCTGGCCCAAGCTATCTCTAAGACTCTGCTCTGGTCTCACCTCCTTTCTCTCTATACCTTTTCTCAACTTCCCACCACCTCCAAGGGGAAGTCGCGCCACATTCGTATGAATTCCACAAAGCAGGTGTCCGAGAGAGGTTCAAAGGATGCATGTAAAAATGGTCCTGCCGCCTGGTCCCCGGCCCCCACCGGCCCTCACACACTCTGGACTGCACTCACAGCCCCACTTCCGGTCCCCCGGTCCTCTTTCCCAACACCCCACTTTGCACATCGGCCTTCCTCTGCCTCAAACGCCCTTCCCTTTTCGTCCCACCTTGCAAGGTCCTCCTCCTCCTGCCCAGGCCCAGCTGCGTCTCCCTTCTCAGGGAAGGCGTCCCGGCTGCCCTCCCAACTGCAGTGGGGCTTCACTCCTTAGTGCTCTCTCCTTTCTCTTCCGCTGCAAGTCTTGCTATTCTGCTTTGTCACTTCCTCTGGGCAGGCCACCTCCCCTCCGCAGGCTGGGGACACCGAGAGGGCAGGGGCAGCGTCTGATGCTGGATGACAGCAGACCCCTTGGCCCCGGGGCCCGGGGCCTGAGTCTCTCCTGCTTACCAGCTATGGAACTTTGACCAGGTTACTTCACCCCTTGGTACCTCAGCATCCTCATCTATAGAATGGGGATGTCCTAGGTCAGGCTTCTAGAAGCGGAGCCCAGGACAGATGGGTCTATAAAAGTTATTTGTTGAGGGGTACGGGGGGCAGGACAGGGTGGAGGAAGAAGCTAAGCAAGGATGTGGTTTCAGGAACAGTCCAGCTTCAGCCTGACCCTTGGGGAGACCTGCAGTGTGAACCAAAGGGCTTTCTACCCGAGGACCCTAGGGTTTCCAGACGCACCTTCCTCAGGATCCGGGGTCCGTTAGGGCCAGTCCTGGTCTGGCTAGGACAGCAGGTGGCCAGGTAGTGGCCTTGTCTCTCTCACTTAAGAGTTTGTCCTGCCAAGCAGCAAGGAGGCTGGGAGGATACCCCTCCTCTCTGCCAGTCACTGGCTATGGGAGTTGCCCAGTGGGTGGAGGAGGGAAGGGTGCCAGAGGCAATGACTGCCAGCCAAGGGCAACGCTCTGGGGAAGGGG